CATGGTTAATAGAATGCGATTTCATCAACTGCACAATTAAGTTATATTTTATAGTATTATCATAACAAATTGGATTGGACCAGTTCTGGCAATTGAGGATTAAAGTCAACTCAATATACAGATTGTTTATATAATACTTTGCACTTTTTTTACACCAAAAACCTCAATATTTCCGGCCCAAAAATTTGGTGCGTGCACCAATTAACTCTCTTGTATATTTATGATTCTAGTATGCAAAAAAAAGGTAAAGAATTAATTGCAATGTCAAACAAATATAGCAAAAATCCGGAACTCAAAGGCAAAATCAAAAAGGGGAAGTCCATAAAACAGTCTAAATGATGAAAAAAAATCTATGAACACTAGAGTTCACTTCGTACAAATTCTAATTTTACCAAACAATTGGAGTGTCAACTTTATTGTAAGGAAAATGACGTTGATCATACCTTGTTTACTTCCTCAAAAGTGTGAAATATTTCCTTTTCGTATAAAGTAATGTGCATGTTTGCAAATAATAAAATTTTAAAGTTTGAGTATCTTTTATAAACGATGATCAATACACACAAAAATCCTAAATATTATTGTTGTACACATATCAGTGGTGGATTCAGGGGGCCGGTTGTTGCAATCCCCCTCCTTTTTTGACGATCAGGAACCCCCTTTATCATGTGTTTGAATCCCCTTTTTGAAAATTACTGGATCTGCCCCGGCATATGTACTTTAACGGTACGACAATCTATCGATACCTATATTTTGGCATTTCATAAAGGTCATATTTTGCTCTGATTGAAAATTGCGTCTTCACACGTAATCTATTTGATGTTGCATGTGTACTGATTGTTATACACGTCTTAGATACATGAATTTTTCTAATAGTTCTTATTGGCTTTGAACTAGCTGTCAAAAACTGCGAGCGAATTCTCTAAGAACTGTGCTTAAACGTTGCGCACGATGTTGGTACTACTTAGCGTTACACGACGTTCCTCATAATGAAGCGATTTCGACGATTTCAAGGAACGTTTCAAGCGTTTAAGTTTATAATTGGTGAGGTCAATTTACAGTACTGTTGTGAATTTGGTAACCGATTTCGGTTTGTCTGACAATGCATAGTTTAACCAATAAAACTCAAAGTGGTCGAACATTTATAAGAGTTGTCAATCTTTCCAGGCCATAATTGATAATTTAATTTTTTGCAGCAGTTCGCATTAGTGAATCATACATTAATTTCCATATTTATACAGATTTGTTTTTAATATAAATTAGATTTTGAATCTATTTCCCTTTATTGCATGTTTATACATACTCCTTTTGTTGCATTTCTTTCCGTTTCCGTTTCCTTTCTTTATTTTATCATTTCCCGATGCTTTCTTTGTCGCAAAATTTCTAGGTAGTTAAACATTTTGGATTCATGTTTTTCTCATTTTCGTATTTTTGTGGCATATGCATATCCTTTGTTTTGTTATAATTGCCAGCAATAGTTTTTCTCTATTTTATTTTATCAACAAAAAAAATATGCATGTCTAAATAAGCACAAAAATGTCAGTATTCACCTCTGAAGCTAACAAAACCTTTAAATAGACTTATTAAGAAGGGATATAGTTACGATACTGTTGTCAGGTCATTAAAGATTGCATATTTAGGCGTTAATATTGATTCACTTATAGGGTCTTTGCATCGGCACTAAACACATTTATTTAAATACCAGTTGTTGGCATGACACGGGTTATGTTCTTCTCATATATGTTATGATGGTATGATACTAAACCCCTAACGGGTAGGATTGTGCCTGATATTCATATGATGAAGACATAATCTTTCAATCAGTTTAATTGAAGTCTGGAGCTGGCATGTCAGTTAACTGCTAGTAGTCTGTTGTTATTTATGTATCATTGTCATTTTGTTTATTTTCTTTGGTTACATCTTCTGACATCAGACTCGGACTTCTCTTGAACTGAATTTTAATGTGTGTATTGTTATGCGTTTACTTTTCTACATTGGCTAGAGGTATAGGGGGAGGGTTGAGATCTCATAAACATGTTTAACCCCGCCGCATTTTTGCGCCTGTCCCAAGTCAGGAGCCTCTAGCCTTTGTTAGTCTTGTATTATTTTTAATTTTAGTTTCTTGTGTACAATTTGGAGTTTAGTATGGCGTTCATTATCACTGAACTAGTATATATATTTGTTTAGGGGCCAGCTGAAGGACGCCTCCGGGTGCGGGAATTTCTCGCTGCATTGAAGACCTGTTGGTGACCTTCTGCTGTTGTCTGTTCTATGGTCGGGTTGTTGTCTCTTTGACACATTCTCCATTTCCATTCTCAATTCTATGTTGCTTTTGATGATTTAAAACTTATAGACAACGTTCCTTGAATAAAACAAATGTCATGAATGTGCTGAAAAAAAACTAAGATCCCGATATTTTTTATATCAATCTCATTTGGTCAACATTTGAATTTAAACTTAAACTTTCCCTTTATCATACATTGGTTATATTATAACTTATATTTTTATTTTCATTCGAATTAAACTGGACACAAATAATTATGATATAAAATTAAAAACCCGAGCATGACATCAATTACGTTTTGCGAACGTTGGGACAAAACGGCTATACTTTTTTAAACGATCTAAAAACCTTGTTGCCAATCGAAAAAATGTTAAACACTATATTATTTAAAAAGAAAAAGAAATAAACTTTTACCGCCTAGATTTATTTTCTATGATCCAACTATGCTTATTTAATATACAGCCGGTTACAATCTCAATTGTAAAAAAAATACAGCGTTTTTGTCGTTGGGACAAGATGGCTATACTTTTTGAAGTCATTGCAATAGAAACTATACGCATGGTTTCTGGCAAAAAAATATCATGAACCAGGAGAAAAGTAAAAAAACTTTCAAAATATCATAAATATTTTTCCTCTCAGCTTTTCCAATGTCACGGTATACATGCGCAAACCCGATATATACTTACCTTGCATATGCTTGGACATTTTTCAGACCAGTTTCAAAAATAACATTTTCCGGTTTACGGTTTCAGTGATATTGATTTTGCTTTAACACGCGAATAACAATAACAATAGCAATACTCTTGTGAAGTTTTACGATGATCAGAAAAAAAATACAGTAGGAAAGAAACGGAACTCCGATCTTTTGCACACAAAATATAACTTTGGACATTACGTTTTTGCGTAAAAATGGGATAATTAAGTGTCATAATTCTTGATATTTTAAATTTCGGTTCTTTTTTTTTCTATATTTTCAAGTCTAATGTGATAAATTCAACCAGAAATCACTATATTTTTATCGAACTGACCAGTCTACGTATTTATTTCCATGCTAATCTATAGCAAAATGGAATTGGTACCAACATCGTGCGCAACGTCTTAGTGGCTTTTTTATTGTTTGGTATGAGGGATGGATAAATACCCTGCCACGTCCGTTCTGTACTATTGGTTGATGTTTTTCTGCTTTGTATCGATCTGAAGAGTTAAGCCCTTTTTAACTGATTTTCATAGTTAGTTCTTATGTTGTGCTGTTACACTACTTTCATAATTCGTTTTGTTATAAATAAGACCGTTGGTTTTCTCAATTGCATGTTTCATATTTTTCATGACGCAGCCTTTTATATCCGACTATACTATGTTGTTTTACTCATTTTTGTAGACGTACATTTGCCTATAATTGCCTACATCCACTTCATTTGGACTTGGGTGTATAGTTGTCTCATCATTGGCAATAATACAACATCTCCTTATTTTTGTACGTAGGTCAAGAGTTTCATATTTCACTTTTTGCATTCTTTTGATAATACAGATTATACATACACAGTCCAAAATGCAAACCAGTTCGACGCAACTTATGTGTTACTTTTTTGGAATTCACATGAGTTACCATAGTTCTCTTTATATCTTTACACGAATTTCTTTATATGTCATTGATTGAATAAATGATTATATAGCGTGGAACCAAACGCATGTTTACATCAAACTGCGACATTAATGAGGAACCATTGTATACAATTTTCGAGGGAAAGCTTTGATTGTTTTCTATTCTCGGGGGAATCCGCGGTTGTGTGCGATCCTGGTGGAAACCCTTGGAATGAATGTGATCCTTGAGTGCAGCATGGGACTGTTGGCGATCATCGATTGTAGCCTGTGAAAGTATGTATCCTCGATGAATCAATGAGGTTGAATACGATCCTCGAGGGAAACCCTAGGATTGTATGCGATCTTCGAGGGAACCCTTTAGCTAGAATTGTATGCGATCCTCGAGGAAACCATAGGATTGTATGCGATCCTCGAGGGAACCCTAGAATTGTATGCGATCCTCGAGGGAACCATAGGATTGTATGCAATCCTCGAGAAAACCATAGGATAGTATGCGATCCTCGAAGGAACCCTAGGATTGTATGCGATCCTCAAGGAAACCATAGGATTGTATGCGATCTTCGAGTGCAGCATAAAGTAAAATAACAGATATACCGCACATCGAGAAAATTTCAAACGGAAAGTTCCTAATCAAATGGCAAAACTAAAAGCACAAACACATCAAACTTATGAAACAACTGGCATGGGACTGTATGCGATCCTTGAGTGCAGCATATGACTGTATGCAATCCTCGAGTGTAGCCTGTGGTTGTATGCATCCTCGATGGAACAATAGGGTTGCATACGAAACTCTGGGAACCTTGATATATGCTAAACATTGAAGATATTTTTCTTGTCACCAGTTTCCAACCTTTTCCAAACTTTGAAAGAACTTTCTCATTTGAATTAAATCCAGAAAGCAGCTTTAAAGCAATAATTTAAGTATAGGATAATGCATAACATATGAAATAGATCAAGCCACATGAATAATGTTTCAACTTTGACTTTCTTCGTTCACTTGTTTTGCTCAGTTAGTAAAACCTGGAATCGAAAAATGAACAACTTTTTAAAAATTACGATCATTTTCGCCATTCATTCTATTATATATGTTTTCCTTTCATTTAATTCTATGTTGAAGTACTATTTATAGTAGTTTATTAAATATGAATACAATTTACACAAATTTCGCAGTCTTATTTTATGAGTTGAACAAAGTTAGTATAAAGAGTCAGGACGTGAGTACTTGTGTAATCTGGTTCCAGAAAACAGTATCACCATATTCATCGTTGGGATATTCAATATACGATTGTGATTGTACCAGTTCCAAGATGTGTAATGGCAGTTCTTTAGATGTAATCTGGTCTATAAAAATAAGAAAAAGCACGTTTTCGTGACTTCTTTCGTAGATACTCTCCATTCTAGCCATATTATATTCAAACATGCACCAATACGACTTCAGGAAATTTCGAGACATGATTATAATTGTTCTACGACTATTGTGTATAGCGGAAGTAATGTTAGTGGCGATGTCATTACCTGGTAGAAAATTCCTTTTATGTAAACACAATATGATTCCATTTTCTTTTTCCAGTTTTGTAAGTAATTGTTTGTGGACAAAGGTGCTATCCTCATCTGCATAAGATACAAAGGCTCCATACATATACGATTTATCATCATCGTTTTCAACTGGGACCATCTTTTTATGAGATTGTATTTTTATCATGTAATACGCATATCGCAATTTCCATCGATATCGATAGATTAATCCACTACATATGATTATCAAAACAGAAGACACTGACGCTACAAGTGCAACAATAATAGGAATTTTTGACATGCAATCCTTTGAAAGTGTATCGTACAGTTTATCAATATTTTCTATCGGCACTAATGTTAAGTCTGAAAGTTGACATGTGTAGTTCTTCTTTCCTATTAGCCCGACAGTTGTCGTAACTAACCATTGCACAAAGTTAATTGTTTCACAAGTACAAAGAAAATCATTCTGACTTAGATCAATTCTGAAACTTTGGTTTAAAATGTCAATGGAATCTAGTTGTTGTATTGCCGAAGCAGATAAAAACGAAATGCGATTATTTTTCAAATTGAGATATTTCAGACTTTTCAAATGACCGATATCAAAATCAATACTTTCAAAAGTATTTTCGCTTAGATCAATCCTTTCAATTTTTAACTGAGACTTGAAAAAATCTTTTGATAATCTTTGTATTTTATTTTGAGATAAATTTATTGTTTTCAAATTATGCAAATTTTGTAATGTTGCGCCTTTATAATCATACGGTAGTACAAGTCCTAATATATTATTTTGTAAATATAATTCTTCCAAGCTACCGAAATCTTCACTGAAGAAATAATTTGACACATTTGAACAAAAGTTTGATGACAAGTCGAGATATTTAAGACTTTTAACATTATAAATTGGTCCGATCCATGATGTGAGCAAGTTATTACTTAGGTCAACATTTCGCAGAATATTGTTTGTTAAATTGTATGATAATAAACTGTAATGTAAATGACAAGAAGAATAATTCAGTGATGTAAGTTGATGGGGAATTGGCAGCAGCGGTATAGCTTGAAATGTTTGATCATTATACTCCATACCATATTTCACTTTTGTTTCAGTGACGGGTTCTTTCTTACATACAATATCATAACTACATTGTTCAGGATGTTCGTCCTCTGTATGAAATGTGAACATATGTGAAACATTAAACGTTTTCACGGAAATGCGTAGTAAATCCCAAAAGTAGGGACCGTATGAAAACTGGTTATCCCTGGCTGAAACGTAGTCAAGTGTGTTGGGCATAAACAACATAGCTCTGATTTCGATCTGCTGCAGTCGATTACTGTCCCCATGAATTTCTTGAATGGTTGTATTAGTCAAATACTTTATTTGAGATGTTCTGAGCATTGTATTCATGTCAAACACCTTATGGATTTTATTGAATTTTAAAACTTTGATTGAAGAAAATTGCAGATCATATGTTACATTCTCCAAGACTTCAAATTTTAAGCAGGTGTTATTTGAAATATCCAAAACAGAAATGCTTTTAAGGTATCGGAAAGTACCTTTGTTAATATGTTTAATACGACAATCAGAAATACTCAAATTTTCAATTTGAGGAATGTATTTAAAGCTTTCATTGGTTAACGATCGAACGGCGCAATTTCCCGTCAATCCTGACAAGTCAAGTTCCCGTAATCTTTTCATAGAATAAAACGATTCACTTATTTGTCCTGTATCATTTGAAATGAAATCCATTTCAAGTGATCGAAGAGAAACCATTAATGTCAAATTTGGTTGAAAGTTTCCAAATAAATTTTGTTTTATATTTAGATGTATCAAGTTCTCTAAAGGTTTCAATACGTGTATGTTCAAGTTTGCTATACTTGCATCCAGTTTATTGTTCTGTAAATTCAGACTGCGCAAATTTGTTAATCCTGTAAAAGATAAATTTCTAAATACGCGAATCTCATTGCTTGAAAGATCCAGTTTTAGTAGGTTAGTCATGTCTGAAAACGCCTGGTCAGGAATAACTTGTATTTTATTTTCCTTGAACGAAAGTTCTTCGATTTTATTTGTAAGTTTAGGAATCTCTCTTATCTCTAATCTGGAACAATCGACAGAAAACAGCAGCGTGACTGGGTTTTGTCGACATGTACATATTTTGAGGAAATAACAACGTTCATGTCTTTCATCTGCTGTCATTACATGGTATATAGATCGAAGTAGAAACAGCTGAAGCAACGTAAAATGCATTTTCTTGCACTCTAAAATATGTAATAAGAAATAATCTATTCAATTTATAAATAAATAATATATCAAAAGCCTAACAGCAATACTTTGTAGTCATTCTTTGTTGTAAGGTTTTGTTTTATTGATATGTTGTCGACGTATTATTGCCATTGTGTTATTGTGCTATGGTCATTTCATATAGTCTTGTCTTTCATTTTTGCTCCTTTGCTTTGTAAATAAAGTGTCTATATGTCATTTTGTTTTTGTTTGTTGACATAGTGGTTTGTTTTTATAGTGATTTAAGTTTTAACACAAGCTTGACCGCTGTACCCCAATTTTTGACGTTTTTACCTATTATGTCTGTTTGTTTTGTTCAAACATTGTTGTCAATATAAAGGAATGTTATGCGACAGTCATACACGTGAGAGGTTTAGCTAGCTATGAAACCAAATTTAATCTACCGTTTCCTACATATAGAAATGCTTGTACCTAGTCTGGAATATGACAGTTGTTTTCCATTCGTTTGAAGTGTTTGGGCTTTTGATCTTGTCATTTGATACGGGAATTTCCGTTTTGAAGTTTCCTTGTAGTTCGGTATTTTTGTTATTTTACCGTTTGCATTATGATGAGGACTTAAAACGTGTCAGACTCTGATCTTTACCTTCATGCTGTCAAACTGAACTACGTTACGTATTCCATTTTTGGTAAATGGAATAACTATTCATATATTTGATGCGTCCTACGCGCTTTTTTTTATTTAGTTTGACCAGGAACGATCAACTTCTAATATTTGAAAGCCAAGGATGTATGAGAACTTGCACACATGAGCAGCTAAATGACTAAACGTGACATAAAACGAATAGTCAATACCCACTACTTCGTCTGCGGGAATTAGCACCTTTGTTTCTTGATAATTTCTATTTACGAAGAATATAGGAAACAAAGGTTTTAAATCATTTCAGTACCGAAGCATTAACTACTGAGCTGATGACATCGCCGGAAAAAGCAGCGGCCAAGTTGACCATGGCCAATGTCAGAAAATGATTGTAACGATATATTAATGTGTTCCATCCGAAGCGCACTCCTAGATATAACTTCAAATTCATAAAGAACGCTCACACCAAAACTTTTGCAAAAGAGGATTGCAAATACATAGCTTGCAGTAATACAAGGTTTCTTTAAAAGAGAATTGACAAAAGGCCGAAATTTAAATGTTTGTTTCACTGCTTGGAAACGATAAAAGTAAAAGTTTAAAGGGTTTTCCTCAAATATAATAAAAATCAAGGGCAAATAAATTTAAATGCACTCAAATCAACTGCTTACAAAACTTTGAATTTTTGAAATAATAAGGCTTTTCTACTTCAGGAATAGATTACCTTAGCTGTATTTGGCAAAACTTTTAGGAAATTTGGTCCTCAATGCTCTTCAACTTCGTACTTTATTTGATCTTTGAAACTTTTTTTGATTCGAGCGTCACTGATGAGTCTTTTGTAGAAGAAACGCTCGTCTGGGGCAAATACAAAATTTCAATCCTGGTATCTATGATGAGTTTATTTTCAAAGCCAGAATTGCTTTCATCCATATAAAATATGTGTATACGACTGATTAAAGTCATATCACAAAACTAAAAATTGACAAAAGGCCGAAATGATAAATACTTGTTTCACTGCTGGTAAACAATACAAGGAAAAAGTTTATAGGTTTTCCTCAAATATAATAAAAATGAAAGCAAACAAAGTTAAATGCCCGCAAAGCCAGAATAGCTTTCATCCATATTAAATATGTGTATACGACTTATTTAATTCATAACACAAAACTAAAAATGACAAAAGGTCGAAAATGTAAAATTTGTTTCACTGCTTGTCAACAATACAAGGAAAACATTTATAGGTTTTCCTCAAACATAATAAATATGAAAGCAAATAAATTTAAATGCACTCAAAAGCTAGAATTGCTTTCATCCATATAAAATTAATTTATTGATGCGAATTTTTCAATTCATAACACAAAACTTTAACATTGATGTATGATTAAAGCATTTTAAGAGAAATCTATTGATTTGTTTACAGCGACATAACATCTGAACACGTCTTTAGCATTTTATTTAAAAGTCAACAAACGGAAAAGAGTGTTCCAGAAATCATTTTATTATTATTATTATTAACATGGATATTCGGTTGGTTCTAGTCGGCACAGTTGCAAATAATACTACATTTTTATATTGAAAAAGCAATAACGTTCATCACGAATAAATGTATCCCTCATTGATTATAGTTTACGGATATTTTCAAAAGTTTATATATTAGAAAATACGAATGCAACTTGTTAAAAGTTTTTCTAATTTGATAGAAAATATTGTTAGCTGAAAAATTAAAATTGGATGAAAAAATTGGAACACGCAATTTATAATTCATTGTTTAAAGTCGACAAACGAAAAAGAGTGTTCCAAAAATCTTTTTTCTTATTATTTTTGACAAGTTAATTTCGGTGGGTCTTTGTCGGCTCAACTGCAAATAGTAAATTTCTATATATAAAAAGCAATAAGGGTCATTCCAAATAAATGTATCCATCGTTGATTATATTATATGAATATTTTTAAAAGTTTATATATTAGAAAATATGAATGCAACTTGTTCAGAGATTATCTATTTTGGTATATACATGTAACTAATTCAAAAAGCGAAAAAATAAAACATTTGTTTTGCTAAAAAAATATAATTTGATGATTTCTTTTACGTGCGGATGTATTATCTTTTTACTTACTTGATGCGCTTTTAATCTCAAAATGACATCCAGCCTTTGAAGTTTGGGTACAAATAAATCATATTCATCGGATGAGCTATTTAATACGATTTTGATTTCCTGTTTTGATGTAATTATAGAATTTTTTGAAAGTTTAAAAAAATATTTTTTTCACTTAACTTCCTGAAATAAATTTGAAAAGTGTTATACATGTAGACAACTCATGACGATAGAGATCATCCTGCAATAATTTTCGATTTACATGTACTAAGTAATAAAAATGTACAACAACAAAAAAATCGAACTCCAAGGAAAATTCTAAACAGAAAGTCCCTTAACAATTGACAAAATCAAAAGCTCAAAAACATCAAACGAATGGAAAACAACTGTTTTGTTCCTGACTTAGTACAGGCATTTCCTTATGTAGAAAATGGCTATATAGCTAGCGTAACATCTCACTTGTATGGAAGTCGCATATAGTTCCATTTTGATTACATAATTATAAAATTTTGTGGTAGTTGATAAAAATCGCATTTTATTGTTATTTCATAAGATAGAGAATAAAAAAGGGGAATGTGTCAAAATAACAACAACCCTACCAAGTGCTCAAGCCCACAGATGACAAACCTCCCCAATACCTCTAACCAATGTGGAATAAACAAACACACAGCAAAACTCAGTTTAACAGTAGTTTTATAGAGATTTTCTTGCCCTGAACAATTTTGTTTGTTATATCGAAGTATTTGGTATAAATCATGGAAAGAGTGTTAAACAGTTTAAAACATTGATCACTCCAATAAGTGAGTAACATGAAACTTGAATCAATGGAGCACGATTTTTGGATAGGTTCTAGTGACTCCATCTTTAGTTTTCTCTGTAGTGTTCTGTGGACTGTTGGTTATTTTTTGGAACTAGTGTTGTTTTTCTTTCCTCTACTTATGATTGCCATTTGCATCTTCTTGCTATTTAAACCAAACAATAAATGCATTACTTTTTGATAAGCAGAAATCCATTTAAGCCTGGAATCCGCGCTTCCTATATACATAAGTGTGCAATCTAAAAAAAATACGGGAAATAGGTTTTCTTATGTACGTATTTCGTGAATTGATAAAGTCTGTATGGCGATCTATTGTTGGTAACATCTATGATCGTCCATGTCATTTGGTCTGTGATGGATAGCTGACTCATTTTCAATCATAACATATTATCTTATTGTATAATGTAATTTAAAAGGAATCCGGTTTAATTGTGCAATCATTTAGTATGATTTGTATTCAATATAAATGGTTTTCAATTCACTTTGTGTTTCAAAATTGTGTAAAACTGTATTGTTGATCTGATAGTTGACAGGGTTTTAAAATCAAGCATTTAGGGTGTTATATTTTCCAAATGAAGCTGAAGTTTAAGGGCATATAAGATTCCACGCTGATGTTTCCTATGAAGATTTGCATACAAGCTCATGTTTACCTGATCAATTAGAAAAAATAAACACAATGAAAATATACCATCATGTGCTATTTTTCAATGGCGGCGAAATTTGGATATTTACCAAAGAATTTACTTTTTTGTGTACCAATTCTTTGAAAATAGTTCGTATTTATTTAATTTTCATGATTTTAGATTGCATATTTATCTATTAAAAAAAAACCACCAAAACATCAATATGTCCAAATATTGATTATAACACAATCGGAACATTCATTGATAAGATGATTTTTCTGATATCTATAGTTCTACGACTATACAAGACATATTTCGTTCGTATCGGTCAACCAATGGGTTATGTGTAGTACTCTCATAACCCTATGCCAGAGGTTTTTGCGTGAAAATGCACCTCTTCTAAGTAGTCCATACAATGTGTACACTCCAGTAACGTATCAATTGAGATATGTAAATAACATACGGTTGGGCAGTGCGTATGTTCCGAGTCTTATTATATTAATTTCCCTGATAGAGGAAGCTATTAGACAAAGATTACCATTTGATGAAGTTGTAGTCATCCCTTCAAAAATTTTACGGCCGCCATCACGTTATTGAATATCTGTTTCACAGGATAATCGTATTAACCACAATCCAATCCTCCTTTTCCCCGAATCTGACCTACAAATTAGACTTATCACTGGGATTGAATTAACTTGTTAAACACATCGGGTGCCACATGTGGAGCAGGATCTGCCAACCCTTCTAGAGCATCCAAAATCCCCCCTGTTTTGTTGGGGTTACTATCGCTCAGTGTTCAGTTTTCTATGTTATGTTTTGTATACTGTTGTTTGTCTGTTTATCTGTTGGTCTGTTTTCTTATTCAGCCATGGCATTGTCAGTTTATTTTTGACTTTGAATGTCCCTCTGATACCTTTCGCCTCTTTTTTTTATTGTAGATAATGGGAATGGTCGGTGTATTGTTATTAAAATCTGTGTCATTTCGTGACTTAAACAATCTTTTTTGTACAAAAAGCATCGTTGAGAAGAGAAATGTAGTCGATTTTTCAATTGAGAATTAGTCCCAAATCAACATGTATTATAGAAAGAAAAAAAAAAAAAATACAAACACACAAAACACATATTTTTTTTTCGATCCTCGCGTAAATGCAAACTTCTTTTATTAGACTGTGAATACCACAATTTTGATTGAAGTCAAACATTTTTCATTCGTTATTGTTTTTGAACTATTATAGCGATAAATTATCCACTTAAGGTTCGCAAAAGGAGTATGTTTACTAACCTTATCAAAATGTTTCCTTCATCTAATGGTATGCCTTATTTGCAAAGTTACTGGCTTTTGGAATATTAAAGCATCAAAAGGAAAAACTTTTTAAAAGAACTATATATTTCAATTGAAACTTAATATCTACCCAAAGATTTTATGCAATTCCTTTTATTTCTTCTTGTTGTAAATAATACAAATTAGTTTCATGAAACAAAACTAATCATTAACAGTTTTGCTCCTCTACATTTCAATGTTTAACATTTCGGAATATATTTCATTTGGAATTCATAAATAGGTATATTAAGATTAGTACATTTTCCGCTGATAAACGTACTTTTTCTAGTTGGCCACTGTTTCATCCATCCAAAACCTACACATGTACATATAACATTACTTCCCGTCAGGTCTATCGAATACAGCCTTATTTTCTTAATTGCTTCAGGAACTGTTCTCAGTTTTGTATACCTTAGATGTAGCACCTGTAATGACTGCGTTGTGGCAAATGCCTCTAATTCCACCATGGATATAGGGTAAAATGACAATTCTAACGTAATCAATAATGCCAAGTTTGAAAAATCACCTACCCTGATAATTGATATATTTGCTTGAAACATTTCAGTCTTTTCTAAGGACGGCATATTACTTAGAGCTTTTGGCACGTTATGTAGTTTTGGAAGAACAAGGCTAATTTCGTATAAGTTAGGTTGCATTTTAGCTGGATATACTGCATCTGTTATATTGATATATAATCAGACTGAAGAGCAAATGATTTTATGTTAGAAGAATCTTTATAAATAGCTGAGATGTTTGTAAACTCGTGCCCTGAATAACAATATAATAAATGTTATTAAATCCTTCAAAAATCTCCTCTGGAAGAACCTTCAAGTTCACATTGTAGTTGATCAATACCGTAAATAACTTTGATAGTTTGTTTATTGACACTGGAAGTCTACTGATGTTTGTAGATTCGATCTGCAAAAACATTAGCGAATCTTCTAATCCTTCAAATGCGTTTACAGGGAAGGAATCCATAGAAACATTGTATACACTCAATTCCACCAGTTTGTTCAAACCCATTACAGATGTTGGCCATTTTGTCATATTGATTGAACCAAAAGATAGTTTCTTAAGATTTGATGAAACATTCATAAGGATGTTCGTGTCTAAATCTTTCATAGGATTATATTGGACTTGTAGATCAGACAGTTTAGATAGAAGGGTGAGTGTTAACGGCAATGGTATTAGCTGATTTCCGCGTAAACGTAAGGACTGCAACGTATCCTGAAAACGCTCCAATGTCAATGTAGATAATGTTGTTATTCGATAACCATTATGTGTCTAACTTAATATTATTGAACGCACTTGCTGGCAATGATGCTATGTTATTATCTGAAAGGTCTACAAACCATGTTCCATTATAGGATGAAGCCCTTAAAGTTAGAACTTTTGTAAATCCCTTGTTCCAGCAGTCTTCTTGAAGTACTCCAAAGGTATGACATTCGCATTGCGGCGGGAAAGGGCACATTGGTACATCAGATGTCATGGTGTAACCAAACACTGTCAGCAGCTTTTAAAAATCCAAATTATATTTCATGGTATTAGAAAAAAAACAACAAATAAACATTTTTTTACTTGGCAAAATAATATTTTATTTAAGGAATGACTGTAATATTTGTTCTGTGTATGAAGAAATAACATAAACAAATGTGGTGCACACTGAATAACCCGCGTAGCAGGTTATTTAAAAGTGTGCACCACATTTTTTATGTTATTTCGAATAGACAGAAAAAATATTAAAGTCATTCCTTATAATTTAATTCTAAAAAGCAGTAAATTATGATTAAAACGTTGATGAAGTCGCGGTCACAAGCCGGAATCATGTCTATGAGCTGATAGACAAAACACTTTCATCCAATCAGAAGACGTGTTACATCCAAAATTAAATTATTTAAATGTACAAACAGGACTTTCAAAATAAAAATCAATTTGCATAACTGTATGTTTCTTATCTTTATATCATGTCTCAAATGAAATCACAGGTTCCATTTGAATTCAACGATTGAAAATGCAGTAGATAACTTTCCAATTTGATTTAAAAAAATATGCATGTAAAATTATTCAAATGAAATATCTTTAAAACATAAAACTAAACAAACAACACAAATGCTGGTATTTGTTAAAACATTGTTGTTTCAATTTCTTAGATCAAGTAATAGACTATTTTTATTTATAATTAAAGAACCTTAGTGAGCGCGCTCACATACCCTACGTCCCCACATTGTCATTGGAGAAATAAAATAAGTGTAAGAAAAAAAAATTGAATCATAATTTCCTGTCAATATGCACATCTACATTGTATGACCTTATTATCTACAAAGTTTCATGAAATTCTGTTGTGTGGTTTCAGAGGAGTTGCGATGACAAACTGTTGCAGTAGTACATTAAAGCAAATAAGTTCAAAGGGGCGTATTTCCTAGAAAAAAAATTGAATCGTAATTTCCTGTCGATATGCACGTCTACATAGTATGTCCTTATTATCTACAAAGTTTCATGAAATTCTGTGGTGTGGTTTCAGAGGAGTTGCGATGACAAACTGTTGCAGTAGTACATTGAAGCAAATAAGTTCAAAGGGGCGTAACTCCTAGAAAAAAATTGAATCGTAATTTCCTGTCAATATGCACATCTACATAGTATGTCCTTATTATCTAAAAAGGTTTCATGAAATTCTGTGGTGTGGTTTCAGAGGAGTTGCGATGACAAATTGTTGCAGTAGTACATTAAGGCAAATAAGTTCAAAAGAGGCGTAACTCCTAGAAAAAAAATTGAATCGTAATTTCCTGTCGATATGCTCATCTACATAGTATGTCCTTATTATCTACAAAGTTTCATGAAATTCTGCGCTGTGGTTTCAGAGGAGTTGCGATGACAAACTGTTGCAGTAGTACATTGAAGCAAATAAGTTCAAAGGGGCGTAACTCCTAGAAGAAAAATTGAATCGTAACTTCCTGTCGATATCCACAACTACATAGTATGTCCTTATTATCTAAAAAGGTTTCGTGAAATTCTGTTTTGTGGTTTGATAGGAGTTTGGGATGACAAGAAACAGGACTGACGGACTGACGGACGGACGGACAGACGGACAGACGGACGGACAGACGGGTCAAAAACATTATATCCTCCGCAACCCGTTGCGTGGGGTATAATAATAATACTATTTACTTGACAATGGTTAGTTTCCATAAATTGGGATACCCCACTTCTCATATACAAACGATTTGCAATTGAACCGTTCCTTTAAGATTTATTTATTTACTTGTTTGGTGCAAATATCTTCAAAGGGTTATATTATTCTACAAAAATAATGAACAGAATCCACATTTCCCAACTATACATTGCACGATATAAATAATAATTAACTTAGGATAATATATACCTCGTTCATTCTATAAAGATATAATTGTTAACAAAATTAGCTTTAAGAAATGATTTAACATTAACATCATAAGGAAGATTTGCAGATGTAAGCACACATAAAATTCTGGAACATTTCAGTACACTTCATGACTCTTTTTCATATGAGTGTCTTACAGTTGTGTGTGTCAGATAAGACCGTAAACTATTTTCAACATAATATTAACGTTCTTTTACAGAATCGATTATAACTGTATTTGACTCGTTGTCAGCTTTATCTACTAGACAATACAACAGATGTCGCATGCAAAGCACTCTTGTAATACACGATACACTTTCCCTTTTGGAGCTTCGGAAGATCATTTGAAAGGCATATGCATAGTTTTCCAGTGTTTCCCTTTGAATGAATGGAAGGATGAATATTTAACTTTCAGTGGCAAATCAAAAGCATATTCAGGACGAGAACATTTTAATGTGATATAAACCCTGATTTGTACTAGACCGGCTCACTGACCCGGAGTTTTAACATGCTAGTTCACAAAGGAACTTCCACAGGAAGACAGGAAGACATGCCACACTACCCGGACACATTATTCTGATTCGAGCCGACAAGTCTCTAACTTATTAAGGCAGCGTGCTAGGTCGGTGTAGCAATTACCAATTTTAAAGTCTTTAGTTTGACCCGGCCGGGGATCGTTCCCAAGACCTCCCGCACTTGAGGTGGGCACGCTACCATGAGACCACTGAGACCATTTCCATTCTCAATTTTATACTATTTTTCTCCTCATAAGAAATGCTTATTGATTTTGAAAACAATTATCATGATTATATGACACTAAAGATTAAAAGTTGTAGAGTGTATTTTAATTCAATTTATAATTTAATATTTTCCAATAAAGGGTATTGAAAATGTACTTTTTCGACATAAACAAATTTATAGAATCACTTTATTAGTGTAGATCAAAAGTAATAGGCAATGAATAAAGCTATCATTTCTATATATCAAACATCTAATATACACATTTCTGTATTCAATAATGAGGTTAAGTATTTGTGTATTGAGATGTACAATGAATGGTCTGGTTAATTATGTAAGACTAAGGTTGATTAGTAATTTGGTCAATATGATTGGCATTTGTAATTAAGGCCCCACCTTGTCTCTGATTGTTTGGTGATCATGGCAGTTGTCAATCATACTGGTAATGTATTATTATTATTACTCTTTCCTAATTAGAATGACAAAATAGACTTAAGTTTGACAAAACTTAAAAACATACATACTTGAATGAACTGCTTCAAAGATATAACTTAAATTTTTCACAGTTCATATGTGCATATATATATATGTACAGAGACATGAGAAATATAGGGAACTACATTTCAGTGTGTATACATTTTGTAGATTTAGTAGCTAACCTGTGCTACTTCTTGTTTAGGAGGCCAGTGCCTTAGGAAAGACTTGGAACAATAGTTCCAATCTTTCAAAAAAAAAACCACCCAATTTAACTTAACAATAACTCATTCTCCCCACCCGTTTCCCAACTATTCCTCGTTAGCCTTTACACGTTTTGCTGTGGTTTTAGATCTTATAGTTTATTCCAGAACTACGTGTTGTGCGTCTTGGAAATCATATTGTACTTATTTTTTTCCAAAAGGAATTGCAAATTTGATTCTCTACTATAACTGATTCAAATTACAGATTTAAGGATTTTACTTAAATGATATTCATGGAAGGTTTATCTAAATCGAGATTAAGAGTATAACCTGGCCATATATCATTTATCATAACAACGTTGAGGAATACCATTAACTTAAAATTTAAAAACTATCAAGAGTGAAATTCTCCCTTCACAAGTTTTACGTTCCCTATTATGTAATTGTTAATTATTAACTTACTAGTTTTACTCATAGATCTCAATATGCCCACTGTGTCATTTCGGCATTCATACCTGTTTTGCAGGTGCACATTAAATATTTTGTGGTCAAGGGGTATACGAAATCAGTAATGGATTTATGGGGAGATTCAGGCCAACAGCTGTGTCAGGGCAGTGTAAAATTTAAATGTGTGTTAAACTTATGAGGTGTCACTCTTGTGGAAGAACTGAAGCAGGCTGTTTCAACCGAGCAGTCCTTAACAAATGTTGGAACAGTTACATAAAATTAAAATTGAACTGATCAGTTGAAAGAATGTATAGTATAACTTTGAATACTTCCAAAACATCCGTTTTGGCAAATGCCCATTTTACAATGAAATTTAAAAAAAAAAGGCTCAACACTCCATCTCAATTTACTAACATTTGACCTACACCACAACTATTCATAGGATTTACTCTTTACCCCTTAGTTGTTTCAAATAAGTTTGCAAAGTCAAAATGGATTTACAAGATTTGAACTTCTGTAAACTACTGTTACCTCTTAAACCATGATATTGTATTGAATTTGATAAAGTACAATCTTATCATGCTGTTTAATGTGTTTATCATCATATGACTTTAGAATCCAATTCTGAAAATAATAGGTTTAGTGTTGTGAGCAAGATTTAAAAAAGTATGTACTATTAAAATATAGATATATATAGATAAAGTCTAATGTTTGATTTTGTCAGTTTTTATGGATGCCCTTTTTATAATTATCTTGGAGTTCAGTAGTTTTAGCAAAGTATATCAACTTTGATAACAAAGGATGCAACTTCGAATCTTCTGTTTAATTTCAGATTTATACAAATGTGTGCAAGATTGGCATCCAAAAAATAGCAAAAATATCATAACATTTTAAATTCGTCAATATTTGCTATACCAATTATCAAAACAAGATAAAAGGTGGACATATGGATAGCCTTGACAGAGTGATTACAGTTTAGAGCTTAGAATTAACAAACAAATAGATCATAAATATTTATTTGATCCCTCAAAACAAATATACAAACACAGTTAATGTTATCACCAGACCTGCTTTTTAGGTTTTTGTTCTCAAAATAAATGTTTATTGAGAAATCTAGATCTTTTAGTTAAAGTGACCTTTATAAACATGTTAAAAATAATAATCTTTAAATTAAGAAGTTCAAAGAAGTTATCATGGTTTTTTTAAAAACTGAAACAACATTTTACAAATTAGTAAAAAAGAAAAATTATAGCAATGCATATTGCAGTCTTTAATAATTTGATTGCTTTCTAAGCTACAAATAGATATTACAACAATTAATAAAAATTTTTTAATTTAGATTAAACCATTATGTATTGAAATATTTAAGTTAAAACATGAGCCAAATTACCCCCTCAAATGAGATTCTGTATTAATGTGGTGTTGCTTCTCTGGAGATGTAGGTATTATGTAACAGGCGACCATTAATAAAATATGTTTAAAATTGAAATTCAAATTTGAAAAAAATAACAAAAAACAAATGTCAAATGTGTCAGGATATTATGGACCCAAAACCATGGTAAAAATATAGAAATCTAACAAGATCCCAAACCTGTTTAAACAATATTAAGTTTATTGGTAGCAATGAAATTGAGAATTTTTCTTACATTTCATAAATTATCATGGTAACAATGAAAAAATATTTCATGTTGGGGTTTTCTCATGTTGACTATTCGACATGCAAATAATAATTGAAACATCTATCTCAATCCATACTTCAAATATTCACTAGCATTCAATAACATAAATTATATTAAAATCAGACTTGATATAAATGAAAAAACCGGTATTCAGATTAGGACTTTTTTTTAATAAATAATTCAAAATACTTCAAAAATATCTAAATAAAATATACTCTTAAGTAAATACTGAATATCTAATCTTCTAACATATATTAACAAACAAACAAAATATACTCTTTAAGTAAGTATAAATATTAATCCTTCTAACTAACCACTGATTTAAATTACTGTATAGAAATCAGCATTTTGTCCATTACAAGACAAGCATACATGCATTAAGATGGATTTTTTCTTGAAGTTCTTTCTATGCTACTAGTTTTGAATGAAGGACATTTCTGAAAAATCTTTAGGTCATAATGAAAAAACCTGGTTATATAATTAAACAAATGGAACATATGATTTCTATTCAGCACAGACTACACACAAAAACAAAAAATATATATGTAAATGTTACCTCATTCTAATAACAATTCAAATAAACGTCACCACAATACATGACCTCATAGGAATCTCAAAAATGGCAATAAGAGATGTTAAATCACTGGTAAATACTCATGAGAATCAATCAAAGCTACCTCAACTACAAGTATATATGATTTTAAACAACTTATTCCCACAATGTTTCCTGAAATGACGAACATATCATATCTATACCAAAAATATAAGCTAATGCATTTTTTGTTTATGCCACACTTTTCATTGCAATATTGCAACATAGAAAATATACATGATGATGTTCAAGAAGATTTATACAGGGTTGAAGAGTGGTGCAAAATGAATAACATGTTCATTAATGCAAATAAAACAAAATGTTTGGTTACTGGAACAAAGCAGAAACTATCAATTCAGACTTATCAACCAAACTTAATAATAGATTCAAAAGTATTACAAAATTCTTCATGTGAAAAATTATTAGGTGTTAAAATTGACAGCACACTTAACTGGAGAAATCAAATTGACCAAGTTTGTGCTAATATATCATCCAGAATATACCTCCTTTCTAAAATAAAGAAATTTTTAGATATAAATGCAAGGAAAACATATTACAATGGGTATATTCTGCCCCTGATTGACTACTGCTGTATTATTTGGGGTGAATGTAAAAATGAAGGGATAGCAAGAATTTTAAAACTCCAAAAAAGGGCAGCAAGATTAATTCTAGATGCAGTTCCTTTATCCCCCTCAGCCCCCTTATTTAAAGAACTTGGGTGGATGACAGTTGACAATAGAATAAAATACCACAAATATTTACTTCTATATAAATGTATGGGTATGGAAGCACCAATGTACCTAGTTCAAAAGTTTAAACTGAAATCAGATAATAATCCTTACTCCCTGAGAGGCGTCACTCAAGGTAATCTGATAGTTCCTAAGCCAAAAGCTGAGCTATTTAAGAAATCTTTTGTTTATTCTGGATCAGTGTTATGGAATGGACTACCAAACAAAATGCGTAAAGCTCAAAACACTTATACTTTTAAACAAAGTATCAAGAAGTACTTAACACAGTCCTGATAAGATTATGTTTTCTACAATGTATTTGTATATTCTTTTATTTATATTTGTATTTGATTTTTTGACTACATGTACATCTTGAACAGCCTTATATCTTATCATGTTAGTAATATTACATTGAACTAATTGACTGTAAATTAACTATGTGTAAATATCTGTTTTTTAATTGTATTGTAATTTGTATGTGAGGGCCTCAGGGAAGATAAGTTTATTGTAACTAACTGAGTTTACCCTCTTTAAATAAAGAATTTATCATTATTATTATTATTATAAGGAAACTATTCTTTTGTTTTTATCTCTTTGGTAGGGGAGGGTGGTAAGAATGATATTAAAAAAGAAGATTCCTGATTAAGAAAAATGAAGAAAACAATTGTCAGAATAAATATCCATGTAACAGGATAAAAATAATGTTCAGAGTTAACAAATGTCTTACATCAAATACATAAAAAAATCATTTATCTGTAAAAAAAAAAAAAAAAAAAAGTCTACAGATGCCGTAAAAATTCATCCTGAATCTGATATTTCTTTATTACCTGGAAAATGTACAAGATCATTTCCCAGTTCAGAAACAGTGTTTTTTTTTATTAAGCAAAACATATTTTTTGGCTTTTTTCCTGATGGTTAAAAACAAGAAATTAACATAAGCCTCATATCAAATCTAATGCTGCCATATAAATAAAAAGATATCACACATAGAAGTAACTGTATTCTTGAACATTATACACGGTAACTTTCTTGTTGTTCTTGAACACACTCATATAATTACAAAACTACATGGATTTCAGTTCTTTGGAAAGAAAATACAGAAAAAAGAATGCTTTCAAAATATTAATCGTAAAAAAGGTTGTTTGGATGTCATATCCCACAATATGTATATGCGTACAATATGAGAGATAATCCAAAATATTGAATGATGGTCCAAAATTTCATGGAAAAGTTGCATAAAATTTCAACTTTTCTTCCACAGTTATACATGGCATTCTTATAAAATACTCACTTTGAGCAGAAATGATATTTGCATGCATGAGTTGATATGATAGTGATAGAACTGGAAGATAAGGTAATCTTTCAAAGGGAGACTACTCTATATTAATAATAATGGTGTAGAAAAGGTGAGGAAAAAAAGAGACTAGAAAAGAATCAACAACTTCTTTGCTATACTAAACACCAATATAAAAGTATTTTATACAGACAGATATAAAACACTTTAACATTAATTAACTGTCATTCAGCTAAAAAGGAATATAGAAAAACAGTATTTTTGTATCTAGCTTTTATTCAATGGGACCATATGATCTAAAAGCTTCAAATATCTGTGATACAGCTTCACAACATTCTCACAAGTTTGAACAGGAGATCACTTTTTTATTTTGAGATTCTTATCAAAATTCAATGTATATTTTATGATAGATGATCCATGGTGGAAAATTGATAGAACATGATGAATAATAAAAAAAAAACTGAACATCAGTAGAAATACAAAAACATAATAGAACACTTAATTCATTTCTCATTTAAAAAAGTCAGAGTCTATACATCATTCATAAAAAAATATCAAAATAATAAAAACAATGAAAATTGAAAATGTTTTGCATAGTGAATTTTGATTGGACTTTTAAATAAATTTAAACATTTCAGACACTCGAAAATGAATTTGTTGTTAATGAAACTAGGTTACAATTACATTATATGTTTTTTTTTTAAATATAAAGAGGTAGTTGTAATCTAACTATTCAGAAACAGTTCTTATTTTGGAATGTATGGAGAGCCCTATGAGACATAATTTTGTCACAGAGTGTAAAGACAGAGAAAGTTATGTCATGAAAGGGTTTCAATTTTACAGACATGTGAAATAACTATTAGTATACATGACATTTGAGAACAATCATGAGTCAATCATATAAAATACTGGTGAGTACTGGTATATCTTATTTTCTAAAGTTCACGATCTTGAAATGCATTGGATGATCAATGAGGTTCTTCAGCATGACCAAGCTAATTCAACTTCCCATGTTAACAAAATTATTACGATAAATAATACAATAATATAAAACAGCAGCTGTAGTTTTCCTTTAGAACTTATTATGATTGATTCAACATATATCAACAATTTTATAACAAACATACACACTGATAGAAATCTTCCTTTAATATATCTTAATATTTCATTTGAGAAGTTTTTTTTTTCTGGCTCTAAATAATATGTTTTATCTGAAATATTTACTTATCAAAATTAAAAATGTCAACTGCAAAAATTATATGTATAAGTACAAATGTATATCAACAAAAAAATTCACATTCAGATTTTTGTAAAATTGTAACAATAACAAATTAAGTTGAATTGAGCAATGACTTGGGACAGCAAGATTTTTAACCTATCCTTAAAATCAAGCTTAGACAAGCAGCAATAAAAAAAAAACCATTATCTATCATTGGTGGTCTATTAAACTTGAAACACTTAATGCTATTTGATTACCCAATGTAAAATGACAAAAAAATACTGTTTACCTCCTGTTCTAAAACCCAGAACAGTTTGATATTATATGAATACAATAAAAAGAATCCTAAAGCACTTCTAAAAAAAATGAATACCCCTTCTTTGATAATTATGTAAATTTAATACCTATAAATTGCAAGTTCATATGAAATACCAGGAGAAATGTTTTGAAAGAACTGATTGTTTATCCAATAGCTAAGAAGTGCATAAAATCTTCTTTATTTTGTAAAGGAGTTCTAGTGGGTCTGCCTAATTGTTTTCTATGTCCTTTCTCTGCTTTAATCTCTAACAACACAGGTCCGTTCATTGACCTCATTGCTGTTATAGCAGCTTTTATCTCTTCTTCTGTTGTTGCTGAAAAGGCCTGAAATAGATCACATATTCACTACTGATTATTGGTATACATTACTTTCACAATTGGTAAATCTTATTTTTCTTAAACTTTCTTTTTATTTTGTATAATGGAATAACAACACTTTACTGTCTTAAGATTCCTATAGACCAATCTTGAGTTGTTTTTTTTTTTGATGAGTTACACTGGTCAACCATAGGTCAATCAGCATAAATAATGACATTGAACAATGGGTTATTACTATGACATAATAACATTAGCATTGTGACATAGGAAATGTACTGGAAATTTCGCCAATAGATTGAACGTGTTTATTATTAGGTGGAGAAGTCTTGAGGGCCTGGTGCTAAATGATCAGTTTTTGTCATATAACACACAAGCACTCTCATATAACTTTAGACTGCATGCATAATGTAATTTTCTAAAGTCCATTATAATTTTTCTAGTAAAACAGCTTGAATTAACTATACAATGGATATATTTAAATCTTTTTGTACTTTATAATCCTTCAAAAACCAACTGTTTATAAACAAGTCCTTCATTGCCCTTATCACAGATTTAAGTAAATGTCTGACATCTTTCACTGAAATCATTATATGCTATAGGCACAAGTAAACAACTTTGCAAAATAAATCAATGTTTGAAAAATCACATTTAAAAAATAATTCCAGATATATTTTTTGTAACTGCATCAAATAAGCTACAACATTTTTCCACTCTGCATGAAGTTTCAAAATATCTAAATTCTAGGCAAGACTCTTATTTCTAAAATTTGAAAATTCAATTATCTTTAGTGTATAAAAGTATCCAATAGATAGATAGAGTGGTAGAATGAATGCATAATATGTTAGCTATATCATACCTGTTTATAACCACAACCTTCAGCTATTTTAACAAATGAGAACGTATCATGGTTCTTTGCATCTGATGGTTGTCCTCCTACTGAATCATGAGCTCCATTATTTATAATCACATGTTTTAAATTGGCTGGCCCATTCTGACCTATGGATGCCATGGATCCTAAATGCATAATGGCTGCTCCATCACCATCCAAGCAGAATACCTTTTTAAAGTAAAATGATATGTGTGAAAGTCTTCATGAGAATACGACACAGATAAGAAGCTAATTAATATTGGATATAATTCAGAAAATTTAGTATTGTACATAGTTAATAATGTTTCATGTAAGTAAATGGAAAAAAGAGAAAATATTTTGTTAACTCCAAAGGGAGATAAATCTCTTGTCATTTAGTACAATGCTATAGATTGCAAAAAAACAATTAATTTCCCCATAGGCAACAATGGTAGCCTTTTTCGAGATATAGACTTTAGAAAGTTGATTTTTTTCACAAAACCTTGCTAGAATTAAAGGAAAATTATTAGGACAGTATTTTTTGGCAGAAAAAAATATAGGTTCCTGTGGCTTTTCTTTACATAATTTGTACTTTCTCCCTTGCCTATCAATTTTGCACTCAAAAACATGTGTCTCATCCTAGCGTAGAAAAGATTTCTCAGTTCCGTTAGGGCTGAGGAAAAATATTATTTTGCCTTTGGTATAAATTAGAGTGCACAAAGTCTCTAGTAGTAACATATACCAAGTGCATGCATCGACCAATCAGGATTAGCCATACTCTTTATTCTGAATACCATTTCATCTTCATAAAATGGCTCTGCCCATAATATTTAATGGTTGATTGTAACATATATAGGTCTGCTGAAAAAAACCTCAATTTATTATAAATAAATGTGGATTGTGTCCACATGTGGACACAGATGATGCCCCCGCTTGCATATCATATAGTTATAAAGGGACATAACTGAAGAACGGTAAAACTGACGCTACCCTAATTTGAACTTGATCTGAGTTTTGTGGTAATAAGCATTGTGTGTAAGTCTCATAACATTTGGTTGAGGCTAACTTAAGTAGAGAACAGAAACGAAAAATTCAGTAATTTTTCTATTTGTAAACACGCATTACTCTAGAACGTTTGTGTGTAAGTTTTATAACATTTGGTTGAGACAAACTAAAGTTAGAGAATGGAAACGAAAAATTCAGCAATTTTTATGTTTATAAAGGGACATAACATAAGAATTGTAAAAGTGACGCCACCAAATTTCGTACTTAATCTGTATTATGTAGTAATAAGCATTGTGTATAAGTTTCATATCATTTGGTTGAGGCACACTAAAGTTAGAGAACGGAAACAATATTTGTACTTGATCATAGTTTTGTGGTAATGAGTATTGTGTATAGGTTTCATAATGTTTGGTTGGGGCAAACTTAAGTTACAGAATGGAAACTAAAAATTTTGCAATATTTTGATTTATAAAGGGGCAATAATGGTTTAAGTGACACTACCCAAATTCAACTTGATCTGTGTTTTATCAGAGGAAGGCATAAAAATTGTTGAAGCAGTTTTCACACATAATTATATACACATATTTTTCAGTACATTTAATTGGTGGAAGGAAGCACAATACACATGAGGGTTATATAATGTTAAATATCAGGTCATGATATATAATGTTGTGTAAAGATCAAAGTTTGACATTTCATTTAAGGAATTCTTCAGAAGCTTGTAAAACTATGTCTGTGACTGTCAAATCCCAAGTTGATGAAATAAAATAAAAAGAAATAATTCCAATGAGTTTGAAAAGGTTTAAAATCCCAAAAAATTAAATTCTGAAAAAGTCAAGCATGATTTTGGAACATTACTGTCATGCCAAAACATGACGTAGATATCAATGAAAACTTTCACTTTTGACAGTATAAATCTATATTAGAAGCAATAAGTGAAATAAGGCATGAAGTTAAATCCTAGACATTAAGCTTTAAAATTCAAACTTTAGACCCTTAAAGACAATAAAATTGAGAATGGAAATGGGGAATGTGTTAAAGAGACAACAACCCGACCAAAGAGCAGAAAACAGCTGAAAGCCACCAATGAGTCTTCAACACAAATCTATCAAGAAACAACATATTTAAAGAAAAATCTGTGGACTGGTTTTAGAAGAAATAGAAAATTTAAAGATAAATTAGGGATCTTTTATCATCGATTGTACATGCATTCTTAACAAATGTGTACTTATTTTAAGAACATTAGCAATTAAAATAGTTACTTATTAGTTTGACTTTCAGTTAAAGTTCCACATGCCCAATATACATGTAGTATGCAAAAATCTTACAAAAATCTGTGACATTGACCATGAAGCCTCTTAATATTAAGGAAGTCTTAATGCCTAGGATTTCAGCTTTATTCTTGATATCACTTATTGCCACTAACATATACTTTTAGCACAAACAAAGACAAAGGAATGTATTACTTTCAATAATAATATAAAGCAAACATCATTGTATTCTTTAACATAGGCTATAGTAAAGACAATGGTAATAAACATTCATTCAGTTTGACATCACATTGACTATACAGGCATATTTGTTTCTGTAGAACTGTACTGTGATACACTACATTAGAATGGTTTTAATCCCCATCTTATTACCTGTCTTCTTGGCTTCTGTAGTGCGATTCCCAAGGCTATTGTAGAGGCATGACCCATAGAACCTACTGTCAGGAAATCTTTCTCATGACCCATGTCCTTTGTTACCCTGAAAAAAAAATAATACTGAATTATGAATAAAAGGAGATGTGGGCTAAACGTTAACAGACAGCAACCCAATGATATAAATAAAACAGTTATCCAAAATACACAATGATCAATTAATTGTAACCAAAAAAATTCTTACAGTTGCATTGGTAGCTACATTGTATTGTTAAAATGGAGCATTTTCAATATTCAAGTTCTGTCCTGGTAAATTATATAAAATGAAAAAAACTGGAGCAATTTCAAGGCCATTGTATTTTCCATGTAACTGGGTCATAGAAAACAGTGCTCCTACAAAAATTGACAACCAGGACTCATTTTTGAACTCTTTAAAAGATAGAAGATGCTTATATTTACTTGAAGAGTAATAAATTTGCCAGACCCTTGTAATGCTCTATTGCAAATTTTATCATTTACGAAAGGGAACAAATCTTGAAAAATAACAGGAATAATCTTCAAACAAGCTTGAGCAGATTCTAAAAAATGTAAAATTGCTAGAACACTTACATCACCACTTTGCCAATCTACTATGTTATTAAGGGGTATAACTCATCTATAGACCTAACTTTAAACAAGCTAGTGATATCATTTAACAGAAGCTTAAATGAAAATTATCCTATGCTGATGAGAAATGTATTTGCTATAGTTCTTATGATGTGGTTGGAGATAAGGATGCAAAAATACTGCACTGAGAAGGGAATTACAAACTTTTCACGTACTGTAAATTCAGAAATTATTGCGTGCATTTATTATTGCGATTTTTGAAGAATGGACATAAATGCGAGATTAATTATTGCGATTTCAGGAAAAGCTGCATACAGATATATGCATCAGATATCAGAATGCGAGTTCTTATTATTGCGATACTGACACAGTCCCATTATTCGCATTAATAAAAACCGCGCAATAATTTCTGAATTTACAGTATATAATCAACAATATTGTGACTTACCTGTATTCAAATAACTCTCTAGATGTCATACCAGTTGTGCTTATAACAACATCCTTATTTCCTAAACAATCTACTATAACTTTTAATGCACCTTCCCTATTTAAAGGAAATCTGAAATTTAAGATAATGGACAGAATTAAACTATACTGTACTTGGTAAAAAATTATGCTGTATGCATTGTAATGTACTGAAAACTATTAGAGGGAGTTTGAATCATAGGACATGATTTCAATTTGCCTAGTCGTTTTCAATTAGAAGATTTTTTTATAAGCTGGATCTGTCTAAATTGGCCTATAGCTTTCAGGGAAGATTTTTGAAGAAAGTCCAATAATAATTGGTCATTTTAGAGTTTACTTGCTTACTAAATTATTGATCTCCTTAGTGTACAACCTATATACTTACTGTGGTTCTCCAGTCTTAGGAAGTTTGTATGGAGAAAATATTTGTCTCTTAACAAGTAAGGCATACGGTGCATTGGCTTTCTTCATATAATGTTTGGCTGTGACCAAAGCCTACAAAAAAGATACACCTTAAGTTAACTCTCTATTGGAATACATGTAGTTATATGCTGAACACAATGTTATGACACTCAGTGCTTTTGGCAGTTTCCCCATTTTTCAATTAAATTTTTGCTAAAATATCATATTCTTTATTTCACTTTTTTTATTCTATTTTTCATCTTATCTCTTTGGGTTAGATTGATTGATTGTTGGTTGCTTTATGCCGCATTAGCACATCTTTGGGTTAGAATTATTTTTCCAATGCTACATATATAGATTGCATGGGAATAGTTTATTGAATTATATTCTAAGATAAACATAAATGTACACATTAAGTTTAACAAAAAGTGTTTACTGACAAGTTTTCAAAAGTGTCCAATTGACAATGTTATAATCATATTGAGGACAAGAAAATTTATATATATAAGATCTGAATGTCTCCCTTCATTGTACTGTAATAAAAGCAACTGTTTAAGATGTTAGATTAAAAGTTAAGAGTCTACAGGCCAATATAAGACCATCAAGTCAGTGTCTAATGAATGAAGAGATAGAATTTTAAACCGACCTGTTCAGCTCCCTCTTGGTAATCTGGTAAAGGCTGGAATGGTATACCTAGTGCAGCTGAAAAGATATTTTTAACATATGCTAGTCTAATCTCTAAATAGTGTAAGCAGAAAAATAAATGTGGCTATTATATTGGGATGTTGTGAAGATATTTCAGTAGGTAATTTTATAAAGTTAAATTACCTACTGAAATATATTTTATGTTAAAAGAGAGAAAATTGTGCACGTCTATATATATTAAAAGAGAGAAAATCCTTAAGGAAATAAATCTAATGTTTACTACTAAAGAAATTCTTATACCATTTGTGTCCAAATAACTATTCTACTGGCAATTAATGGTTTGAAAAAAAGATCTACAATATTTTTTAAAGAAAATTAAGACACAAACAGCTGTTAAAAGATCACCATTATTTTAAAGTAAAACTTTTCTTTTGGAATCTTTTTACTTCACATTTGATCTGAGTCTAGTTCTTGTATGTTTTTCTAAGTCCTGTTATTCCATTTAAAATCAGTCAAGCAAAATGATTGAAATTTATAGTTTGCTATAATATATATTTATCTGACCAAAAAATACCATACAAACCTCACTCAAGAACTTAATCAAGTGTATACAAAACTTATCATGTGTAGTTTTTTCACAACAAAAGAGCAAATTTTTGTTAAATCAAAACATGCTGGCCATCTTGATTTTCAAATCAGCATTACTAAATATATGATACATGTTTTACATCAGCTATTACAGACACTAGATTTGATTAAAGTACAAATTCACAATAATACAGAAAAACACTAAAAGATAACCTTTCAGATTAAAATCAAACTTACCTAAAAGACCTGGAGTTGATTGTCCTTGTGTTGTATGCTGTGGCTCATCTCTCTTGCCTGGTTCTCCTCGCCAACCAATAAACAATAACATAGGGATACTGTATACAGACTGTGATGTCAGAGACATTATTGGGTTAACTATGTTACCTAGACCTGAGTTCTGAAGTATACAATTATAGAGGTATATGATATACAGACTGTGATGTCAGAGACATTATTGGGTTAACTATGTTACCTAGACCTGAGTTCTGAAGTATACAATTATAGAGGTATATGATATACAGACTGTGATGTCAGAGACATTATTGGGTTAACTATGTTACCTAGACCTGAGTTCTGAAGTATACAATTATAGAGGTATATGATATACAGACTGTGATGTCAGAGACATTATTGGGTTAACTATGTTACCTAGACCTGAGTTCTGAAGTATACAATTATAGAGGTATATGATATACAGACTGTGATGTCAGAGACATTATTGGGTTAACTATGTTACCTAGACCTGAGTTCTGAAGTATACAATTATAGAGGTATATGATATACAGACTGTGATGTCAGAGACATTATTGGGTTAACTATGTTACCTAGACCTGAGTTCTGAAGTATACAATTATAGAGGTATATGATATACAGACTGTGATGTCAGAGACATTATTGGGTTAACTATGTTACCTAGACCTGAGTTCTGAAGTATATAATTATAGAGGTATATGATATACAGACTGTGATGTCTGAGACATTATTGGGTTTACTATGTTACCTAGACCTGAGTTCTGAAAAATATAATTACTGTGGTTTCATATATGTTCGTGGATACCAAGTTACGTGTGTTGAGGATAAATAAATGTAGTATTTTTGTGGATATATAATTGGTGACTCACAAATAACCATGAATCCATAGTACATAGGTATATAGTATACAGTCTGTGATGTCAAGGACATCATTCGTAAGACCTGAGTCCTGGAATAATGTTTGAATATTTGTTTTGGTTTAACACAAGCTTGTTTACATTTTTTTTATGACATGACATGTTAAGCTATTGGTGGAAGAAATATAAGTGTAAGGAGTAAACAATCAACCTTCAAAAAGCAACTGCATGGTAACAAATTCTAACAAACCAGTTCAGAGACAAAATGCTTCTTACAAATTGATTTTTGTGAAAAAAATATAGGAAGAATGAAACCTTTGTTGTATTTCTGATTCTTTATCGATGTGTTAGGTAGATGACATTGACAACTCAGCTGATAAGGCCCACTTAGTATAATGAAAAATAAAATGTAAAATCATACAATGAAAGACCTTTCCCAAAAATAAGTCCTCTATGGTTTGAGAAAATGGCCACACAAGCCTTTTTAGTAGGTTTTATCAATAAATTACCCACCTAAGTCCTCTTGTGTAATCAACAGAATCCTATGCAACAATTAGCTAATTGACACATATACTAAGCCTCATAACCAACATCTCCTCTGATTAATCTTGTCATAACACAGATGTGTTCTAAATTTTGGAAATAGTTCAAACTGAAGTTTTGGAGGAAGAAATCTGCAGTTAACTTCAATATTCTTGAATTTTACCTGTAGATAAACCATTGAATGCTTTCCTGTTGCTAGGTGATAACCTGATGCCAAGGCAACAGCATTGCCTTCATTAGCAGCTATCAGGTGTTTCCCTTCAGGTGCATTGGCTGTCACATAGGCACAAAAATCTGTAAAATAAAACCAAAAAAATAATTTTATTACCAAAAGAAAGTTACAAATAACTATTTTGGAATTAATTACAATCATTTTCTGTTCTCCCTATAGAACAAATCAACAAAAACCCTGTGCAACATAGAGAAAATTTATTGAAATTTACATAGAATGCACAGAAATTGTGAAAATCCTGTAATGCATACATAATAAAGGTTTAAAATCCTTTTTGGTTAAAAATTTCCCCTGCAAACAGAGCAGAATTCTGATTAATTTACTTGTAGGTGAAGGAAGTAAAGTTCAACAGGTCTGAAATTCTACTTAAAAATGGAGATTCATTGTTAAAGCTCTGACACTTTAATGGATTCTACTAACATTATTACAACTAGATAGACATGATGCCCTTGCTGCATGAATATAGTGTTACAAACATTGGATTCAGTTAAACAGTGATGTTGCAGTTCAATATGAAATGGTTGTGTCTATACCCACCAAGAAGGTTTATATAACATTGTGTCATTAGTTTTAAATTTCAAGAACATGATATGAAAGTTTTAGCTTGAAAACTGTTAAAGAAGTTAGCCAACAAACCATGTATCCTACATGCCTTTTATTAACACAAAAATGACAAAGTTCAACAACCTATCATTTGTGGAAAATTTAAAGAAAAACAAAATCCTGACAATATGCACACCTTTAGTATATGTACTAAGACCCTACACAATGTAAATGTTCTGAAAACTGTAGGAAGAGTTAGCTGGAAAAACCATGTACTCTGTATACCTTATAATACAATAAAATGACAAAGTTCAACAACCTGTCATTTATGGAAAATTTAAAGAAAAAATCAAAATCCTGACAATATGCACATCTTTAGTATATGTACTAACACCCTGTACAATGTAAACATTTTTGCTTGAAAGGTGTAGGGAGGATTTAGCTGGACAAACCATATGCCCTATGTGGGACAGATCGATGGACAGGGGTAAAACAATATCCCCCTCCCCCGAAATTTTTGTTGCAGGGGCATGAAAATTAAAATTTAATTTAATTTATACTCAGTCTTCACAATAGACTTTTGAATCTAAAGGCCTGAAGCTGAATTTTAAGAATTTTAGTTAGATTATATTGGCCTGTGGAGATGATTTTTACAGGCCTGGGCTGGTGGGCCTGTGGTTGAGCGCGAAGACTGTATAATACTAGTTTACACAATTTTATGACTATCTTCATCTATATCTACTTTGTACATCTGTGGCCAATACTTATATTATAATCCTATACCTAGTGTCCCTTATTTATTGATGGCATGGCATATATTTATTAACATGCTCTCTTAACTTATATGTTTTAATATCCATTAATCAGCAATTACTGGTTTGTTTAGTAATTTTATATTCACATCAATACTTGTCCAATGATGTACCATGATGTAAGCTGTTACAAACAGCTTATCTTCAGAAATCATTAAATACAATGTACTGTCCATTGGTTTTAAATCAAATCAGTGTGTGCCTTCGTGTTTGATGTTTGATGTTTATTGAAATATTGTCTTATAACTGTGGTATATAGTTCACTTGTTGCATTGATTCTGATCTTTGATCTCAATTGACTACAAATGACGTGGTCCAATTTTTTCACAAAAAATCGCAAATTTCAATGCAGAAATGTACTTTATTTGTAGGGATTTTCATTTAATAAAGAAAATTCATATGAGCAATAATAGCACTGGTCCTATAAGATACTGACTTCTTCCTATTATTTCATGAGATCTTTGTCTTCTGTTCATACACCCAGTCTTTTTTTCTGTTTGCTTTTACTCTTGAACAGGATTAATGAAATGTTCCATGCTTCATAGTGGCAAAGTAGCATGCTCATTGCTTTGGCATGGGCTTCAATTAGAGTTGCCAACTTAAGCCCTTTCAGTGAGAATACTAAAGAATCACTTTAGTGGAATGAATACAAGAAGAAGGATCAAAAGATACTTGTAACCATAATGCTGGCAATAACATGCAGAAACCATAAATACAATTACTGGTTATTTTTTATTTTTTTAGAATAATTGATTGTTATGTGTTTAATTTATTTCTATATTAAATAGAAAGTTTAATTCTGAACCTTTTAGCAGTGAATCTGGTACTCCAGTAAAGTAATCTATTCCAAGTCCTACACATGCATTGTAGAATTCTCCTGGGTTTAAAAAGTCTCGGACAAGTTCAGTAAATTCTGCTTCTTTGTTTCTCCTTTGTTGTTCTTCATATTGCTGGAAAAAAATATATACACATTATGGAAATTAAAATGATTTTTTTATACTTTCTGTAATTTTATTGTCTGATCCTTCCCTCATGAAAATCTGTAAAATCTTCAAAACTTTTAGTCTTGAAGGCATTCTGTATACTTTGACTTTTACTAAATTGAAATTAAATCTTGTTATAATAAGTAAACACTTTACCGCATTTATCTTATTGTTTAAGTTCTGTAAGGCATATTGCATTCGTGGATATTATTTATTATCATGTCAACTTAATCAAATATAATATAGGCTAAAACAAATTTATTCAGGAACACAGCCAATTTATAAAATATTTACAATTCATTTAACAACTACTACCATCATTTACTGGGGATTCATTTATTTGCATGGGTTCCAATTTTTCGTGGATTGAAGAAAACTTTTTTTTTTCGTGGAAATTTGATTTCATGGTTTTGTCAAAGTCTGCATACAACCTCATAGAAAAAGTCATTCGTTGAACATTTTAATTCGTGGTTCACCTGTAACCACAAAATCCACGAAAACTGGTATCCAACGAATAATAATGAATCCACAGTAGTACTCTATCAATCAAATACACTCTTATTACAGGTCCTCAGTATTAAAAACATTTTCATCTGCGCTTAAAAAATCAAAATCTACTGTACAGGATTGCAAAATCCATTGTATTAAAATAGAAATTAGAACAGAAGACAACAATTCGCTGTACAGGATAGCAAAAACAATTGTTTTTAATGGCAATAGGGAACACAGATCTTTTTGAATCTGTCGCGGTGAAAGCTGGTGATTGGGTGTGTATGACTATACAAATAAGTTTATTTCATTCACCACAAATTGGAACAATAGATAGGAAATAGGAAAAGCATATCATCCCAGCAGTTAACATTCTAAACATGCACCAACTATAAGATACACACATGAACAAAACCACCTTATCTAGAATATAGAAAAAAGAGGTTAGACACAAAAGAGGTAAAGTTTTCAGAGTAAATTTAGGAGGTTAGACACAAAAGAGGTAAAGTTTTTAGAGTAAATTTAGGAGGTTAGACACAAAAGAGGTAAAGTTTTTAGAATAAATTTAGGCTTTACCACATTCAACTTCAGAGTACATTTGAACTAAGTCCCTCCTTCTTTGTATAAAGCTTTATAATATTTATCATATCATATATTGACAGTAATAGTGTAAATTTAAAAACTCACATTTATTATTTTACAGGAGAAAACTACGAATTATATCAGCAAGTTTTTTCAATCAAATATTCAAGAGCTAAATTTTTTAAGAAATTAAAAAAAAATTTCCTCTTGTAAAAAACCCAAGATATAAGTGACTTTTATTCCTATAAATGTACATGAACTTCACCCGAAAATTTTGGTTCTACACCTGGGTAAATATTTAAACACAGAAAAATAAAACATAAATACAGAATTTCAAAATTTCTACTGTTTATCATGAACTTTATCCATTTCAACTACTTTTGATAAAAATAATCATAAAATACAAATTGTTTATTTGCAAATACAAATCATATGGTCATATGGTGACCTATAGTAGATGAGATGCTCCATCATATGGTGACCTAACCAAGATAAGATGCACCTATGTAAGGTGACATTACCAAGACAGGATTCTCCACTGTAAGGGGACTTTACCAAGAAAAGATGCTCCATTGTAAGGGGACTTTACCAAGAAAAGATTCTCCAATGTATGGTGACCTAATGGTTAACCTAGACAGGATGCTCCAACTTCAGCTGACCTAACCTAGACAAGGTGCTCCATCATAGGGTGACCTAATCTTGATGGGATGTCTCATCATATGGTGACATAACCTAGATTGGATGCTCCATCATATGGTGACCTTACCAAAATTTGATGCTCCATCAAATGGTGACCTTTCCAAGATTTGATGCTCCATCATATGGTGACCTAACCTAGATGGAGCATCCTATGGTGACCTAACCAAGATGGGATGAACCTATGTAAGGTGACATTACCAAGACAGGATTCTCCACTGTAAGGGGACTTTACCAAGAAAAGATGCTCCATTGTAAGGGGACTTTACCAAGAAAAGATTCTCCAATGTATGGTGACCTAACGGTTAACCTAGACAGCATGCTCCAACTTCAGCTGACCTAACCTAGACAAGGTGCTCCATCATAGGGTGACCTAATCTTGATGGGATGCTTCATCATATGGTGACATAACCTAGATTGGATGCTCCATCATATGGTGACCTTACCAAAATTTGATGCTCCATCATATGGTGACCTTTCCAAGATTTGATGCTCCATCATATGGTGACCTAACCTAGATGGAGCATCCTATGGTGACCTAACCTAGATGGGATGTTCCATCATATGGTGACCTAACCTAGATGGGATGCTCCATCATATGGTGACCTAACCTAGATGGGATGCTCCACTGAATGCAGTACCATCTAAGTTCCATTTAGAAATCATTTATGGCCATTTTATCAGAAATCTAAGAGTGTAAGGGCTGCAAAGCCAATTGCTGCCAAGTTAATGTTTGTGTGACTGTTAGTTTTCATCCTTAGGTAAAAGAATTACACCTGACAGGAGACTACATTGATCAAATTCAGGAAAGACTACTTACAATTGATCAGAATCATTATTGAGAAGTGGTGAGACTTAAAAGAGATATATAATGTTTGGTTTTTATCTTGCCAATTGTACCCTATTTATCTAATTTTTTTTGTATAGTTCAAATCCAATGTTTTTTCATGCCTGAGAATACCATTACAGAAACAGAATACAATTATTGCAAGAAAAACTATAATTAGTAAGTGTATAACATATGCTAGGCTCAACATAAATCATTTGTAAATGCATATATTAGTATTGAATCAATGAAATTGGTGCCCAAATTATTTAATAAGTCCAAGTAAAAAATATCCCTGTTAAGAGTGACCCATTCTTTGTGCACTTATTGTCCTTCCTTTTCTAAAACCACTGAAATCATGTGAAACATATATCTAAAACAAATTTTTATGAGAAAAAAAATGTAGAGCTAACTTTGAAGTCACTTAAGCTACCAAAGAGTTTTTTTTACTTGGCCTATGTATTCAAAAGATTACGAGCACAGAAGTCTTCATGCTCTGTACAAAGTTACATGGGAGCTGCCTTACCTTTTCTTGCAGAGACTTTAATAATAATTATCATCAGCAACCACAGAGGTCACATGGAAAATAAAAAGATACATGTTTAACAATTACAGCATGTGTACAGTGAAACCTTCTGTAAATGAACCATGTAAAATCCAGACCAATTAAATTTTAGGATTTTCAGTTCTTGTTTGATTAATTTTTTATAAATTTCAAACAAGAAAACTTTTATAATATTGCACAAAATGAATATAAGAGGTTGTTGGAAAGTGTCTGGAAATATAGGTTTCACTGTACATTGAAATTTTAGGGCATTTCAACTGTATCTCTTTGTGCATCTGCAATAAATTAAGCAAATTGTGTATGTATTTGATTTATATTAGGTAGCTTAAAACAATTATTGGTTATCATTATCATATGATACATTAGATGCACAATTTCTACTGAAATTTACTAAGGAATTTCAGAAGTTTGCCATGAAAATAAAAAAGAATTTGTGTATTTGATGTTAATTTCTTCTACCAAGATGTGAATATGAAAGATGTCTTCACACTTAAAGTAGCTCAGATAAGTATAAGTAAGCACAGAGAAGAAAGAAAGACAAGTCAAATGAAATAACACAGCAATAGATGAGCACAGGCAAAGCTTCACCCTTCATAATTTCATAGCAAAACAAAAAGAAAAGAATGGAAAGAAAAGATATAGAAAAACTAGACTGGATGAAGTAATCGTATTGATAACTGTGCAATCGAGATTTATATACATCTTATATTTAAAATCTTGTTTTCTGTAAATTTTAGCTCTAAAATGAGCATGCAATGTAAGAATTTGTACAATTGTATATATAGATAATTATAAAATGCTTATTCACTCCCTCTCACACAAACATACACACAAAACAAATTACAATGGCAATTTATGTAGTGTTATAACTTTGCAGATACCTGTTTATATAAACTGTTTCTCTATAACGAACAAAATAATGAAAATGTTTAAAAATTAATAAATTTGAACATAAACATGTTTTTTATGAATAAAAATATAACTGGAAATTTGACAACAAATTCAAACAAATTTACAATGTCCGGCCATCATCAAAATTTTGCATTTTAAATTTAGCAGGAAAACGACTTTAAAATGACACTGATTTGAAGATTTTTGGGATAAGAATTATCATGTTTATAGCTTCTTGAAAGTTACACATTAAACAGGTCCAAATCTTTTGTAAGAACACTGGTTCTTTTGTAGTACAATTTCATACATTTTCCTTCGGGAAAGGAGAAAATTGCAGGCTGGCCTTAACTGTCAATATCTGAGACTACCTATTCAATGGTTATGTATCTTTAATAGGTAAAATAATTTTATTAATCTTGTATGGTTGGAATGTGTTATCATAGTAAATATCATATGGCGTATTAAGTCTGAAATTCTTCCCTGGAATCACGAGTGATAACATGAAGCAAGTTACCTCCCTTGCTGTGAAGTCCTAAATGCTTGTAGCAAGAAATAAGCAGAATTGAGTGTCTATGTTTAACCTATCTTTCAACATCTTATCACATTCAATAATGAGGAAATGGTTGTTAACTGAAGTAACTGTAAACAAAAATTCTACAATTTCTCAAAATTTTTTTGTATTACTGCACAAGTGTCATCTCAAAACATTTGTTTTTTTACACAATATACAGAGGCAAAGGTACTAAAGATTTTGTTCTAGCTAATTAATTTACTAATAATTTGATTTCTGATTAAATTTATGATATAAGTATGGAAAGTTAGATAAAATATAATGAAAAATGTATAATATACAAATCTCCCGCCAGAAAATGTTCTCCAGAGGGAAATCATCCACTTGGGAGGTTTAAACATCTGACTCCTATGATACTGAAAACAACTACTATTTCCAAAAAGGAAAATAACTAGCCTCCTATTGTAGTTTTACAGATTCATGATTCTGAAAATAACTAGCCTCATATTGTAGTTTTACAGATTCATGATTCTGAAAATAACTAGCCTCATATTGTAGTTTTACAGATTCATGATTCTGAAAATAACTAGCCTCATATTGTAGTTTTACAGATTCATGATTCTGAAAATAACTAGCCTCATATTGTGTTTTACAGATTCATGATTCTGAAAAAAACTAGCCTCATATTGTAGTTTTACAGACTCATGATTCTGAAAATAACTAGCCTCATATTGTGTTTTACAGATTCATGATTCTGAAAATAACTAGCCTCATATTGTAGTTTTACAGATTCATGATTCTGAAAATAACAGGAAGAACAATAGTGAACCATGCATAATACAATGTGCTTTATTAAAGAAAAAAAAACATTTCTGCATTTTAAGTATTTTTTCTCACAAGAAAAATTCAAAAAACGAACTCCCCTCCCCTAGCCCCTTCCCCCCAAAAGGATTGACTATGTTTCAACATTTGCCTGGAAAAATTGCAAATGGACACAAACCAAAAAGTAAATTCTTGAAAGTTCCAAGGCTGATGGTTGAAAAAGAAAGGAGTTGACTACACAAAATAGGTACACTCTAACAATAATATTGCTGAAAATGACTATTAGTGTCACAATCTGGATTCAAAAGTATATGCGAAAAGATGTGTTCCTCTTCAATGCATATACAAACATTTTAGAAAGTACTGCAGGCAATGTATGAAATAAACAGAGGAGTTTACACATAACATGTATCCTAATGACTTTTCCCCCCTTCAGTTTGACATTCACCATACTATGTGTAAGATTTGCCCTTTGTTTGTGCAGCCTGGCAAAAAGCAAATATATGTTTTTGTATTTTCATTCATGTGTTAAAATATTATTATATGAAGCAAAAACATATTAATGTATTTTTTTTTTTATTATAAAAATTTGAAATTCTCTTTTGCACTATTTTATCTAACCTTGAACATGTTGTTCAAATGATGCATTTGTATTAAACTGTAATAAACAGTTGACAAGACCCAATGTACAGAAGTTGCTGTATTTATATATACTGAAGTTAAAATGGTTATAGTGTCATATGGCTAGGTAACATTTGACTAAATACAATATGCCAAATCATATTTCTTAGAGCTTTGTGCAATGTTTGTGATACGAAATATTGTAGTCACATTGTAATTTTGAATTTGATATTATAATATTAGACAACAAATGTATACCGGTACATTCCTTTATGAATTTAATTCATTTGAAAAATCTTTTATAAAGAAATAGTGCATTGAAGCATTTCTTGTATTTAATTTCATAATGCTAAATGTAATAATCACTGTTTAAAATGCTGAAGACATAATATTTTATTTACTTAAGATTCCCCCAAAAATTATCACTAGCCAACTGAAGACAATTGTACAACTTTTTTTAGGTTAATGTATGCTATAGAAATTTTAAAAGTCTATCCTGTCTAAATGACTGATACATATATGCATTTCTTACATAAAGAGAGATATATAATTGTTTTTTTCTGGAATATGGGTCTTCTATGTTTAACATTGTATCACTTGCTACAGATGTCTCTTGGTGTCTAGTTTATTTATTAATTTGTTTTTGACAGCCAATTCAATTAAAATGAGATATCCATTTGCACTTGGCCACTTTTGTTGCTTGGTGGCAAGTGTAGTAATCTAATTTTACTTAGTGTTGATAGCAAGTCTTATATACAGAGTAGTTCCTGGTAAATTCTTAAACAGCTTAAAGAGTAAAAAAATATAACTTCCTTGATAAACAAACATTTATGACCATCATAACATGTTTGTATCAATTTTCCTCAGTAGGTAAAAAAAAACTCATAGAAGATCCAAATTTCAAGCATTTTTCCATCTAATATAAAAAAATTAATTTGTAATAGTTGTACAGTTGCCTTTTTAATTTTTTAATTTTTTAAATTCCACTGAAAAGCCACTTACAGATGGAGTACCATTACCCTGCTTAGAAAGAAAGAAAATAAACAAAGACATTAGACATAATAATGATATGTAAATGATATTCAGAAAATCAAGTGAATATGGAAAGTCAATCAATTATTATAAACACTTTAACTTATTTACTGTGTCATCTTTGTAATTCATAATATCAAAATGTTGTATATTTTCATTCATTTTTATATGTTAGTACAAATTATACATGAACTGGCTCTTTTTATCCCATATAGGTCTACATCTTTTCAGGAAACAGTAACACTTGTTTCAACTAACGCCAGAGGCTGTCCTGATATTAATGTAAAGATATGAGTTCTTTACATGGTAGTTCATTGATGACTATACTATAAAAGACTCATATAGTCAATCATCAATCAGTCCACCTCCGAATAGATTTAGTATCATAACAGAAAAAAAATGTGCTTAGCCGAGCGCAGCTGAATACGACCGCAGAGGTCCAACCCTGAACAGTTGGGGCAAAAATTTACACAATATTCAAGCTTGATACAGGTCTGAATTTGGATTGTAATTTAATATTTGACACATTATAGGTTTCTGACACAGAATGAATGTAGTCAAAGAACTTGAAATTGGTTATATGATTTGAATTTATATTCAATTGAAAATTTCTTGCTGTTGTGCAATAATTAGTAAATCAGACTATATAAAAAGAATTAACAAAATAAATTGTGACCCCCAATTTTATTTTTGGAAAACTGATAATTTCTTAAATCTGGAGGAAAAAAATTGACCCCCCCCCCCCCTCAAAATTTTTTTTGGTTGGGACCATCACCCCTAAAAACAATCCCAACCTTCCTTTTGTGGTATTGAACCTTTTGACTAAATTTCATAGAGATCCATACACTTTAACTAAAATTATTGTCCAGAAACCAAATGTCTTCAAATGACGACAACGTGATAGCAATATACGAATGCAAATTTTTTTGCGGTTGTATAAAAACAGTCCAAGATTAGTAAGACCTTGTGCAATGTTAAAATCAAGAATGCAACATTGGAACTGTAAAATGTACTTAAAGTCTATATTTAAAGGACTATACAGATCAATAAGTTTATTCAATGGAACAATAAGCCCCCACCCTGGATTTTATCTAAATTTTGGAGTTTAAAAAAAAACATAATCATTAAAAATTAGGATGTGATATGCTGCCTTAGTATATTGTCCACTTGAACAGCAAAACTAATCATCCTTGAGAGAATTTGACAAATGTTTTTTTGTATTATGTGGTAATGAAATCTATACTAGGTAATTTTCCAGTTATACACCAAAACATTCACTGAAATTCAAGCATCCCTACAGATACATAAATAACAAACTTAAGTTGTCAGATATACTGTAATAAAGTGGCCAATTTATTCCTTATTTTTTTTCTTGTCCATGATTTTAATTCTGACCAAATTCACACAACATGATGCAAAAAAGGATATTTTTGCCATTGAAATTACACAAGTTAGCGAAAAAACAAGTTAAACTTATGGCTCTCTTATACTACCCGTGTCCCTGGCTATAGGTAAAAGGTTATTAGATAATATATGAGTGAAGGATGTTAAAATGCATCACACAGTAAAGCATCATGCTCACATGAAGATTGATACCAAATTTCAGGAAGCTCTGATTCCTGATTCCTGAGAAAAATTTAACACTTACTTTTTTTTACAATTCGCTTAGAAATATTGACTCTAGGAACCCTGCATTGCTGACATAGGATCTATTCTATATAAATTATTGCCATATGTTATAATACATTAAACACTTTTTTAAACAGAACTTAAGGTTTTGGTAGCTCAATGTACCTTAAAATAATTTGTTTTAGAGGTTTCCCATATTTAAACCCTACATGGTATCTATGTGTATTTATCCAATAAAACTGTTGAAAAAACATTTGAGCCCCAACTTGAAATAAAATTCCTTTTGGAACCCAATACGCAAACAAACTACCGGTAAAGAAAATTAGGTGACAGACAGATGGACTGAGACGACAGATGGGAATAGCTGACATGGCTTTATATGCAAGATGAGCTAAAAATGATGAATATATAAACTTCAGTCATAAAACACTTCATTGAAAAATAAAGATGAGGCAAACATGAACTCCATCAAAAGGTTTTCAAATAAACCATAAATTACTCTGGTATGTTATGTATCACTGTTGTCAATTGTTGAGACTAAATTAATGTGGAACAAAACAATTTAATATATTAATGTGACTAACCTGTTCTTGCCCCTGTGGATTCTGGTGGATTACAGGGGTAGTTCTCATTCCTCTCTGTAAAAAAAATGTCCTGTTCCCTTCAAGTATCTTTGGTTGCTTTAACTGTAATAAAAAAAATAATCAAAGTCATAATGTTGGGTTACACGAAGTACTGGCATTTATTTAGGGTTAAATAAACATTTAGTCTCTATAGAAAATAATATATTTAAAAGCAAATAAAAACATTTTTTATTAAACGGAAATTGACAAATAGTTGATGCAGACATTTTGAGGCACTCTTTCTTCTTTTCCCTTTAATCATTGTCATTGCTCCCTTTTAACTTTGTATTTTTAAGACTTTTCTGTTTAAAGAAATTTGAATTTGGACTCAAAAGTAATCATAAACATACATTGATGATAAATAATCTTAATTTTCTGGAATGTGTAAAATAGGACTACTTTAGACATAAGAAAAGCAAATTTGGACAAAAATATTGGACATAGTATTGAGGCAATGAGCTTGGCATTGTAATGTGCTAGATCATGGAAACAATCAAAGATCTACATATACAGCATTCATTTAAGATAAACATAGAAAAAATTGGAGAGGTTCCTTCAAAAGATTCTGTATAACCTCACAGAATGAAATCAATGCTTAAAATGTCCTAAACAATGGAAATTCTACCAATGACCTGAAATTATTTTAATTTTGAATTACAAACATATTCCTTTAAAATCTGAAACAGCACATTTTAATCATTTCTACAGTATAAATCAGTGGCAGATGGGGGCAGAGAGAAAGTACAACCCACTTTGATTGGAAAAATATATCATTACTATTTAAATTAAAATCGTCCAAAATTTTTCACATTGCTACGCTCTAGCAGTTTTTCTAGTTTTATGCAATTACACCCCCTTTTCAAAAATCCTGGATATGCCCCTGCAAATGTATGTTGAAAGTACATAAATTGAATCTTTCCGATGATAAAGACAATCTTACAATGTAAATAAAGCATATATACGTGTATATATATATGTAAGGATTCTGGTATGGAGAGGTTGAAAAGGACGAGATAGTAGGAACATTTTAGTTTGATGTTAATTAAAAAATATATATTTCATTATTCAAAATTGTTAAAAATATAATCTATCTCTTCACATATTGAAATCTAGTCTACCTTCATGATATGTTGAATCTTTCTTCTTTGAAGTTGGCAAGCAGTGAATGGATAATTAAGTGAATAAATTCAGGGTATTAAAAAACCTTGAAGGTACATTACATAAATTTACATATTACAAAATGTCTCTTATTCTCAATCCTAAAGTTCTCATCAAATTTATTTCACTGACTATGCTTTAACCCTTTTCCCAACATTTTTCCCACTTATTTCAAAATTTGTGCTTAAAATAAACAGGACTGGAACATGTGGAATGAAACAAAATAAGAAGAGTTTTGTCATTGGCCTGTTTTTATGAAGAAATGAAATGCTTGTGAAACATGGGGTTCCTGGAGATGAGAAGCGATAACATCCTGTCATGATTAAATTCCAAATATAATAAGAGACATCAAATTCTGAGGGAATCAACAACTCATTTGCTATGAAAATTCACCCAAAAGAGAGATTTTTAATTGAAAAAATTCGAACTTACTGTGTACTAAATTATGATGAAATCAAATATCAGTACTGTCATTTGAACAAGTTTAAATTTCTTTCCAACACTCCAATTTTTATGTAAATTGATAATGTTTAACAGACTGTATGAAATACAAATAAATTCTCATTTTTCAATAATCTATATATCGTGTATATAGTACAAGTATATATAAATTGTGCAGAATATATATTAAATTGGTTTATTTGAGTTTGACATAAATCTCGATTGTAGACTTGCTTTCAATTCTAGTCTGTTTTGTGTAGAGTACAAAAACAATATATCCAAAATAATGTACAAAATGTACATGCAGGTTTTTTTTCCTGTGTACTGGTTAAGAAGATGCTTCTGCACCAAGGCATTTCCAAACCTTGTCCCATAGACAATTCGGCACAGTTTTGGTCATTTCGGCACCTGGACATTTCAGGACCAAGACAAATAAGCACTCTCTATATTTCCTGTTATCATTGAAATTTAAGAAAAAAATAATGATTAAAAAGTTAAGAGTTTTGATAGTGATATTAGAATCCTTACATGAAATATGCAATACAAATTTGATTGTGTTTGAATAAACAAATTTAATCAAATCATTATGGATTGTAGTTATGCATCAATCAATATTTTAATGAGTTTTGATAATTTCTCAATGAAGAAATACAGTATCAGGCCACTCAGTGGCCACAGAATTATTTGTTAATAATAAGGTCTGAAAGTTTAACAGTGGAATATAAATATTTTAGATATGTTTATTTTTTATTAATTAATTTTGCTAAGATATGCTCATAACATTATTGTTGTTTTGACATTTGTAGTGTACATGCATGTATTCATATACAGTAGTGTCCGGTAATTCTGCCCGTCCGGTTAACCCGTCCACTCACATTTACTTCCATAATTGTCACTTCCGTGAATATTTCGTCTGCCATTTTATTCATAGGAACTGTACTTATCCTCACTGCATGTCATCTTTTAAGAAAAATCCTTTATTTTTCCTTTGATCTTGCTGACTGATAATTTCTGTTCTCAGCGGAGTCGAGTGATATGAAAATTATCGCTAGAAACTAAGGGAACATGTGCCGTTGTCAAGGAAATTAAAGTCTTCATAGGTAAAATAGCAATAAACAGATTATCATTGGTTATCTCAACTCGATTGCTTTTCTCGCTTTCGCCGTACCGGCTCAAGCGAGAAAATCAATCTCGTAGAGATAACCAATGATAATCTTTAATTATTGATTACAGAACTCATTTCTGACTTGAAATTCATTTTTTTTCGATTGTCTGGAATCCCTTTATAATTAAGTGGTCTATTAATAAATCACCACTTTTCTTTCATAATTATGATATAAACTGGCCCTACATACACATTTACTGTGCATGGGTGGATTTACCAGACAAACACATTTCCGATAAAAACACAGATGACCCACTTCTGTTGTTGATTTTAAAATTTATTTCAGACATTTTTGGGGAAATGAGATAAAATTCTCAAAATTAAGTTGTCAGTGAATAGATTTATATTTAATTTGATACAATTTGTATATATTTAAGCAGAAATACATAAAATCAAAGCCTCAGTATATGGGTGGAATTACTGGACTGCATCGTATGTAGTATTTGGAAATAAAAAATATTCTATTCTATTCTGTAGTAAATGTAGATATATGAGGTGCTAATTTGTCTTGATATTGAAATATCTTGAGTGCCGAACTGTCTTTCACTGATTCCGAAATGTCCTGGTGCTAAAGTGTCAAGAATTCATGTACTGCACCACAATAGTGCATCTCGCACACAAACAGTCATTATTGATGGTGTTCAGTCAGACAAAATTAACGTAACATCTGGTGTTCCCCAAGGAACAGTTTTGGGCCCTATCCTGTTCCTTGTGTATATCAACGACTTTAATGAATACATCAAACACAGCACCCTAAGATTATTTGCAGATGACAGTATAATTTATAAAACAATACGAAACAAAGAAGACACACAAAAACTGCAAGAGGACCTTACATCAGCAGCAAAATGGGAGAAGGACTGGCTCATGTCATTCCATCCAGACAAGTGCTCAGTCCTCCAGATAACAACCAAGAAAAACCCATTAAAATTTGACTATACTCTCCACCAACATGTACTGCAAAAAGAAACATCCACAAAATATCTGGGCATTACTATACAAACTGACCTAAAATGGAACAAGCATGTAAACAACATCACAGCTGCAGCCACACAAAAGCTGAACTTCATTAAAAGAAATTTAAAGGTAAATTCAAAAACAGTTAAAGAAAAAGCATACATAGCACTAGTAAGACCAAAGCTAGAATACAGCAGCTGCGTCTGGGACCCACATACCAAATCACAAACACACCAACTTGAGATGGTCCAGCGCAGAGCAGCAAGGTACACATGCAACAGATACCATAACACCAGCTCAGTAACTGAAATGCTGCAAACACTAAATTGGGCAACTCTTGAGAAAAGGCGAATAAGAACACGCATCATTTTCTTCTACAAAATCATACATCATCTTGTAGCCATATACCCGACAGATCTACTCACACAATCCGATACAAGAACACGACAACATTCACATATTTATTCTTTCAGACCCATACAAACCACTAAAGACTCATACAAGTACTCATTCTACCCAAGAACAATCTTACAATGGAACCTTCTCCCAGTAACTGCAGTTCAATGTACTACTCTTGAAAGTTTCCGAAAACAGATTCCAATATCTGTTCTTAATAAACATCTAAACATTTAAATAAATTCTACAATGTATATAGTTTTAACCAAAATGTAAAGTACAAAAACAGAGGAAAAAGAAATTAAATTTTTATTTTTGTATATTATTCACTGTAAATAAAAATTAGATCCCACGCACGCGCGGCATAGTAAAATCAGTGCCCGGCACGTTATCATCAGTATGTTGATGGAGTGCTGAATTATAAAGAAGAAGAAGAATAATAAATTTAGAAAGAAATATTGTGCATGAAATGCAAATTTTAGAAACTAAGGATCATAGTTACAACTTTAAATAAACTTCACTTTAAGAGCTGTGATTAAAATACTGTTTAATTATTTTTTTTATTTGTTAGTTATATTTTTGTTTCATTTCTGACATTACTTTTAAATTATTGTTTTCTGCTCTGCTGTTTTTTATGTTATGTCCTATTATACTAGCAGAGATCATATGCACTAGAAAAAGACAAACTGTTCAAACACTTACCAATAATTTACAAATTGAAGAACAAAGTCTATTCATCTTTGTGAATGTTGCCATTTTGTGAAAAATGCTACGAATACACAAAGTTTTCACAAAACATGAATACAAATATTACATTCAGATAACCAGATAACGTTCCGTGGTTTCCGAGCACGCACCTGTTAATTGACCCGGAAGAAGTATATTTACTGGTTCCCTGTTAAAATAAAATAATCGCAGCGCATAAACTCCATAAATAGAACCAGTATAGAAACACAGCCTCACAGCTAGCCTATTAGAAAATTGTTAAAAAGCGAAAGGTCTGTCTCTCTGTCTTGGAATTTTAACATGTATTTTTATAGGTACAGTGCTTTTGTGCATGCATATGAGAGAATAAATGTTAAGTTGATGACAATCATTTAAAGTTGCAAGAATTATTTCCCTTTGAACAGTATCTTATAAAATGACCAGATCTTCATTATGTTATTCAGAATTGAACCAATATGAATGTTACAGTTTCCTCCCATGTACATGCAGTGATCGGGAAGGTCCAGCGCCATGCGCAATATGTGCATTTTGACATTAAATGACGCATAGAGTGACAAATGTCAGCGCCAGTGTGGCGCACAATATTTCAGCTTCGTATCTAACCGTTTTGATATTGTAAAATGTATTTTCGATCGTGTTTCATGTCCCCATATTTAAGTGACAAGACCACCACCTACATTTTTCGGTTGTCTTGCTGTTTTGCTTCATGTTTATGATAGGCAATGTGTGGTACAAAGTATATTTAATCATTATCTAAATTTTCAAAGTAAACAACTTTTATTCTGTGAAAGTTGGCGAGTACAGACGAGAAATTATCTCAAACTATAATCTTTAAAGTAAACTAGTTACAATTTCGATTGAAAAACCCATTGGGCCTTTTTTTTAAGTACTGTATTTGTCTCCATATAAGGCGCGAAACTGTCCTTGTCAATTCTTTGGTCTTTGGTTTGTTTATAAAGTTTCTTAACATGCCTCCAAAGAAACAGCAAATTGTTGTTTTGCCTGGCCAAAAAACATTACTTACTCCTTTGTTGGTCGAGACAAAAATAATAATAATACAAGAAATGTCCAGCATTGTCCAGGAAATGCCTGAAACGTCCCCAGATACAGAACTTCGGACAGTATGGAGGTCGACAAAGACCCCAAGTTTAATGTCATAGGAATATGAACATGTATAAGGTGACCGTTCCTGTGAAGTATTAACATTGTAAATAAAGATTCTTGTTAATATGGCCCGGTTTTGGAGAAGTTATGGCCCTGGTTACTGTATGATGGTATCCTATTAATATAAGACTTTGTAGGTCCACATCGTTTGCTTTCAACGTTTTTTATCATATTTTTTTTTTATTTCTTACTATCCGGCAATATGTACTGCAAATCTTGCAAAAAAGCTGGCAAGAAAAATACTCTGGCATTAGGCTGCACAACATTTAAAACCAGTACAATTTTGATCTTTGCATTTCCTTAATCATGATTCTGTTCATTGAAGTGGTGTTGGTGTTGGTCATATGTTGTTCAGTTCTATAGTTTTTATTATAAGCCATAAAGTGTTAATTTCTGAGTGATGTTATATATCATGAACTCATACAAGTCAGTCTTAGTCACATAAATCACCATGAACTAAATTAACATTTATGCACTGAAACTGCAAAAGCACAGGAACAATTTCAATTAGAATCATACAGGTTAGTACCTCATTGCTGAAACATACCCTTTTTTTAGCTTTTGTTATAAACGAATGTCCCATTCATTTGACTACATGGCCCATTGAATTTTTTTGAGCGGGCCCTGGGCCCATACTGAAAAAATCTTTCCAGATCACTGCACATGCAGCAAGCAATGAAAAATATTCATGTATACAACATGTTAAATGCAAGAACTGAATTAGAACCTTTATAATTTTGACTTGCCATTAACACATACATCAGGCTTTAACAAATCCATGTATACTAATAGATACTCTAATGTTTATTTTCTTTAAGATTGTAATATAATTATAAACAATATAAGAGACTAAGCCATTATCAGACTTTTGGATCTCATTTCAAAACTGTTAAAAAATTAAGAAAACTTTTCAAGTATATCTTTCAGTGGTCATTACCCATAAAAATGTTCATTTGCAGTGTAATTTAAGTAATTAAAATTTTGACAGTGCTCATCAGTTTGTGCTTACAATAATCCAAGCATCCTGTTATATAATGGACATTTTTTTCAGAAAATGAAACTCATCTTCTATGTCAATATGAAAACAAAGCTTACATGTCCTCTCTCATGTCTGTGACCTATCTATATGTTTGAATTTTTATGTTGCTCTTTTTTCCACTTGAAATAGTTGGGCACTTATGCAAAATTGCAAAATTTAAGATTATATTTGTTGTAATTCAAACTTTTAATTTTCTATTTGAGAGAAAAATATGTATCCAACTTTCCAGTAACATTATTCCTTTTCGAATTGTACCTTGTATTCAAAAACAAAGTCTTTAACTTTTTTATGATTAGTTCTTTTATTCTATTATTGATATTTAAATAATCAATGTAATATGATTCTGAAATAGAAGTTCCTTCATAATATAAGTTCCAGGTGAAAAATTAATATGTCCAATGCAACAAATATTACAGTATATGTTCCTTATGGAATAAAGAGTATAGAATATGTGGTTCAACAGGAACAGATATTATCATAATGATTATGACATTGTTTATAACAAAGTTTCCAGGGGAACTTCTGTTAGGCAGAACAAATATAACATGACAAATTCAAGCTTTTCAGGACAAAATTTCAGAGATATACCATGTCACAGTGTTATTTTCATGCATATACATGAACTTGTTACATACAATAAATTTGAGTTGCAATGATCATGATGATGTAATCTTTGCAAATAGCTTATCATTCTGATAGTGCAGCAACATTTGTACTTTAATAATTTATGTCTAAAATATCTTTACAGAAATTTGAATTAATTTTTTTCAGCAACATTGTTCTGATATATATACAATGTATTCAAATATTCAAATATATTCATAGCACTTATTTCTTTACAGTTCGGAAGCACTTACATGTAGTACATCTTTAATTTTGAAGGCAACATGGATGACATTACATATCATGTATATAGAGTCACAGAGTTTTGAAGTGTCTTTTTATTAAGTACTCATTCAGTACATTGTATATAAAAATAAGGAGATGTGGTATGATTGCCAATGAGACAACTATCCACCCAAGTTCTAATGAAGTGGATATAAGCAATTATAGGCAACCGAACAGCCTTCAACAATGAGAAAAACCCATACCGTAAAATTGGCTATAAAAGGCCCCCAACATGAAAAATATGAAACAATTCAATTGAGAAAAACTAAAGGCCTAATTTATAACAAAATAGATTGTTTTAAAAAGAAAAATCTTATGCTTAAAGCATGTCCCAATTGCTAATTTTTTTTTCTAATAGTTAAAAACTGATTTAATTCAAACTTCTGCTAAGGTCTAATAATGCTGAGAAATACTTTTCTTATGTCTGTTATTTTTAGACAATTGATATAGATTTTATTTTTGATATGTTTATTCTTTATTAATTAATTTTGCTAAGATATGCTCATAACATTTTTTTTGTTTTGACATTTGCAGTGCATGTATGAGGGTAGCAATGCCCTTTGCCGTCAGCCGTCTAACGGTAATTTTTGGCTACCATTGCGTCAAATTGGTTATAATTTTATCATGGTTCATCAAAGTATCCTTATCGTGATTCGTCAGAGGTCCCAAGTAATTAACCGTTACTGTTATTTTTACGTATTTAACGTGATTCTGCAAAATCAGTCGATTTTTTTATCGTCATAAAGAAAATCTACATTTTATTGTCGTGCACCAAAAGTTACCATTAATGTCATTTGGCAAGATTTTTTACTGTTATTTGTCTTGAAGGTACCCGACCCATTACGACCCTCATGTATCCAAAGAACTGATTTTAACTAGATTTTCCAACAAAAATGTGGTTATTGATGAAATTCATTGATCTACATGTACCTTGAATTGAAAAGTCTTTTGAATTGAAGAATTTAGCTTCATATTGGTGTAGGAACAGTATACATTTTTAACATAAATTCTGATATGGTGGTAACACAAAAATTAAACCACATAACATTTCTGTATATAGAAATTTAGTATGAATTTTTTTACAGAATAATGTAGATCTAAGGAAGAAGAATGGAACTAAAAGGGAGACAACTGGTTATTTTTACCAGTTTATATATTAGTTATACTTTGTATGTGTATGTAAGAAGATCTGTAGCTTTCTCCATACCTGCTTTAGTTACATCCGAAGGATTTGAGAAAAGCCAAATTGGTAAGATATCGCATAAGACTAGTTAAGAGTGTAATGTAGCAAATGATATACATAAATATTAAATATAACATCTTTAAAAGTTTATAGATATAAGAAAGGAAAATAAGCTTCAGAAGAAAAGAAATCTATTTTTTTTTGGATTTTAGAATTTATATGTTTAAACTGCAATACTTTATATTTAAAAACAAATGATAGTTATTTGAAGAAGTCTAGGAGATACTTTCATATTGCAAGTTAATATATATGTAACTATCTCATTGACTAATCTCCCCTTTAGTTGTGAGTATTGAACTTCATAAATACAGTGCATTTTTTCACACACCAATAATATATTGCTCTGCATAGTATTAATGTTTCCCAAGATGACTTCTTGAAGTAAGCAACATTTGATTTAAAAATTAACCAGCTCATCTTCTATAAATGAGTTTACTTGAAATAGTTGAGACTAGATATGGGGATATAAAGATTATGAATGGAAAAGAATTGACAGTGAACAAGTCTTAAAAAAATCTGTATTAGAACATTACCAAATTTAATGTTAATGTTATATTAAAAGAAAAAATATCTACATAAAACCATAAGTTTGATTATACTGTATATGAAATTTCTACTCATTTAATGGGAGATAACTCTATATTTTTTTCAGGTTTAATAACTAGCAGCCAGTCTATTGCATATGCCATCAGTAAATTTATCTGTGGTATCTTAGCTGATATTGTAAGCCCTAAAGCACTTAATAGTGGTGGACTTATACTGTCTGGTATAACAGCTATTAGTTTTACAGGTATTTATAACATGGATTATGTTTGTATGATCCAGACCATGTGTATAAATGCATTAAATAGAGAATATGATATGGCTTTTTCAATATCACATCCGTATAAACCCAAGACACCAATATAATCCCAAGAGCTCTGCTCAAGGGATTATATTGGTTGAGGGTTGATACGGTGTGTGATATTGAAAAAGCCATATCATATTCACTTATATACATATACCTCACGTAGATGTTTTTATGTGACATGACGTCATACAGATAAGGACGTTTGAAATGACGTCATACAGATTATAGGTTTAACATGACGTCTTACAGATTAGGGGTTTGAGCCTTTGCAACAGTGACTGCAATCGATGACGTCATACAGATTAAAGGTGTGATAAAGCCTTTGCAACCGTGCTGATATTGATATCATCACGGGTGGCTGATACAGCATGCTTCCCAATGATTGCATTACACATACAATTTATCTGTATTTACTACTAAGTATATAATAAACATGTATATTTCATATTTGTATGTAAATGTGATAAAAATATGCATACAAAGTATATAACTACATATCAGATAGAATGTTTGTGATTCATTGCAGGAGCATGTAAGTTTAGTTATGTTCTACAGGTGATAATATTCACCATTATTCATGTTAAAATTCTTTCTTATATGTCAAAAAAGAATTGGTAGTTCATGTATCATGTTTACATAGGAAAAGATAATGCTTAGGGTCAGGGAGTGTAATGCATTGGAAGCAAATCAAAAGAATATTAATGCTACATAATACTTATCTTGCCTATGAAAAATTATAGTATAACAGATGTCTTTTGGCTATCCTGGTCATGGAATATTTAGTCATCTCCCAAAAGCTTTGTGTACAAAAGTTTTTTTTTACCTATATTCTTTTTAGTAGATGACTGCTTGGTCTATAAACTGCTACATTGTCCTCAGCAGCTGAATATAGCTTAAATTTAGACCTTTAAGATAGAGGAGAATCCATATATAATAGCCCTTGGACTTTTGGCAATCCTCGTTAAAATTTTATTACTTGTAACGCCACTAAAATAATGTCCAAATAAAAAATTACGTTAACACTTACAGAACTATTTGGCCTGTTTATAGGAATTCATACTTATATTATGAAACACGTTTAAAGTTTGAGTTGCCATGATGCTCAAAAAGGAAATAAGACAACATACTGTAACATATAGCTTTTATAGCTTGCTATGTGGTATGGGTTTTGCTCATTGTTGAAGGTAGTATGGTTACTATAGTTGCTAACATCTACTTCATTTGGTCTTTTGGCAATCACATCACATCTTATTTTATAGATATTGGAATTAAGATAAAATATCTCTATATGCATGGGAAACAGTTGAATTTAGTAATAACCTTGTCATATTCAGTAAACTTGTCCATTACAAACATGTATTGTGTATGAATTCAGGTTTTAATTCAACTTTAGTTCTGAGTTTTTGGTGGTTTTTAAATGGATTATCACAAGGAGCTGGTTGGCCAGCTGCAGCTGTAATTCTTAAGCAAGTAAGAAATTCTTGGTCTTTAGAATATTAATATTAAAATTTTGTTTTCATTTTTCCCGTCAAAACATACACTTTTCATGTGCACCAGACATTAAGAAAGCATCAATCGATCAATCACTTTTTACACAGATGTAAAAAATCTAATTATAATTGTTGTATATTTTGGATATGATGAAGTAACTTTTGTAGTAAAAACCAGGTTCCAAGTAATGATGGATACAATCTGATCTTTCACTTTGCCCCATTATATTTGTTTGTCGCAGTGTGTAAGTTCACAACAAATAAATCTAACTGAGCAATTAGTCAAAAATTTGATCTTAAAAGTGTTCACAGAAATAGTCAGTATAAAAGAATCGATATCAAATATAAAATATACACCTCACAATTTATATTAGATTAAGATATAATAATACCTCTAGGATTTATAAAAGTGACTGATTTATAATGCACTTTACAGGGAAAATATTGAAAATGGAAGATGTATCGGACAAATGTTTTTTACACTTCAATTCTGTTAAATGTTTTCCTATTCTTAACTGGAATATTTTAATCAGGCTGGCACAAGTCATTTGTACTTTTTAAACGACCGCAAAAAAATTTTGCGGTCGTATATTGGTATGACGTTGGCGTAGTTGTCGTCGTCCAAAGACACATTGGTTTTCGCACTCTAACTTTAGTTTAAGTGATTGGATCTCTATGAAATTTTACCATAAGGTTCAATACCACAAAAGGAAGGTGGGGATTGATTTTGGGGGTTATGGTACCAACAGTTAAGGAATTAGGGGCCAAAAATAAGCATTTTTGTAACTTCCAGACATAACTTGTTTGTTAGTGTATGGATCTCTCTGACATTGTACCACAAGGTTCCATATTATAAAGGGAATGCTGGGATTAATTTTGGGGGTAATTGCTTCCAAATTTTAGGAATTAGGGGCCAAAAAGGGGCAAAAAACGAGCATTTTTCTAGTTTCATGACAATAACTTGTGTGTAAGTGTATGGATCTCTCTGACATTGTACCACAAGGTTCCATCTCAAAGGAAATGATGGGATTGATTTTGGGGGTAATTGCCTCCAAATTTTAGGAATTAGGGGCCAAAAAGGGGCAAAAAACAAGCATTTTTCTAGTTTCAGGAAAATAACTTGTGTGTAAATGTATTGATCTTTATGAAATTGTACTACAAGGTTCCATATCACAAAGGGAAAGCTGGGTTTGTGTTTGGGGGTAATTGCCCTAAACGTTTAGGAATTTGGGGCCAAAAAACAAGCATTTTTCTAGTTTCCAGACAATAACTTGTGTTCAAGTGTATGGATCTCTCTGAAATTGTACTGCAAGGTACCATACCTCAAAGGGAAGGCTGGGATTGAGTTAGGGGGTGATGAATCATAAGGGGGTTCAAAAAATTTTTGGGGGGGGGGGTTCACTTTTTTTTCTTTAAAATTTTCCATTTTAAATTGGTTATTTCTGATTTATATATATAAGGAAATAATAATGATATGGTTTGAATAGGTAAATTAAAAAAAAATTTAAGTTCTTAGACCACATTCATTCTGTGTCAGAAACCTATGCTGTGTCAAATATTTAATTACAATCCAAATTCAGTGCTGTATCAAGCTTGAATGTTGTGTCCATACTTGCCCCAACTGTTCAGGGTTCGACCTTTGCCGTCGTATCAAGCTGTGCCCCAGCGGAGCATTTTATTTAAATTGGCATTTCCACTTCAACTAACATGACATTTGCGATTCATAAATCTGATATTTTGCTCTTTGGGTATAGATTTAAACTTTTTGTATTGGCACTTTCCTTTCTTTTTCTGGTTCATTTTGCCTGTACATATATACGTACACCTCAAAAATAAATCCTTGATACTTTTCAGTGTCTTATCAAATTGGTACTACAGAGAAAAAGTGCAAACATCTGCAGCCCCATCAGTCTAGATCTGTTATCTTCCAGAGTTTGATTTACAGTATTATAACAAAATCATTCAGATTTCTGAATTTAAACTTAGACCTTTATCTTGTTTGTTTACTATATTAAATATGAACATATGATTTCCTTCAGTGGTGTCCTCCAACAATTTTTGGAACAGTATGGAGTATATTATCAACTTCAATGAACATAGCAGGAACATTCGGTCCATTAATCACAGCCACTTTTATTGCAAGCATTGGATGGAGAGAAAGTATGAGGCTAGCTGGTAAGATATGGAACTAATTTATTCACTAGGTAACATACATGCTTAGTTGAATATATACCTATGTTGCACTTAATAATATATAAATGTAATAACCCTGATATCAGAAAAAAAAAATTTTACTTTTATTTTTGCATTGTTGGATAAACAGTTTTTCTGCTTTCAGGAATGGTTTCAATACTTATAGGATTTATAACTTTTGTACTGATAAAAGATAAACCAGCTCAGAGCCGAGATACAAACAAGAATACTAAAAAAGGTTAGAACATTAATGGATAAAAATTGTAACTGTAAGTTTAGTGTTAGATAATTTTAAGTTTCAATGATTTTTCCATAAAGCTACTCAAGCAGTTTTGGAATGACTCTCAAGGTTACAGGAATGAGTTGAAAATCTCTGGCAAAAATTTCCAAACTAAAGATTCAAATTGTTAATTTTTTAAATATATCAGAATGACCTAATTGAATATGGTAGTAGTTTGCTTTGATTGCAGATATTTATCAGTTATTTTATAACTCAGACTTATATATCTTCAGTGGTTTTGATAATCGTGAACAGTTGTCCACTAATTAATAAGTATGCTTGTTTTCTTTTCAGAAAAAATAAAGTTAGTGATTATATATTTAAGAAACTATTTTTTATGCCCCTGCCGTAGCGGTGGGGGCATTAAGTTTTACCCTTGTCCGTCTGTACGTACGTCCCAAAATTGGTTTCCGTTCTCTAACTTGAGTTTGCCTCAACCAAATGTTATGAAACTTATACACAATGCTTATTACTACATAATACAGATTAAGTACGAAATTTGGTGGCAACACTTTTACCATTCTTGAGTTATGTCCCTTTATAAACATAAAAATTGCTGAATTTTCAGTTTCCTTTCTCTAACTTTAGTTTGTCTCAACCAAATGTTATAAAACTTATACACAACTGTTCTAGAGTTATGCGTGTTTACAAATAGAAAAATTACTGAATTTTTAGTTTCTGTTCTCTACTTAAGTTAGCCTCAACCAAATGTTATGAGACTTACACACAATACTTATTACCACAAAACTCAGATCAAGTTCAAATTTGGGTAGCGTCACTTTTACCGTTCCTTTACAACTATATGATATGCAAGCAGGGGCATCGTCTGTGTCCATCATTTTTATTATCATTCATAGTTGGGTTGAATCCATGTCATTTGGACTCTTTTGGGTAGTTGTCTCATTGACAATAATACAACAGCTCTTTATTTTATATTGTTCATGTCTTCTTTTTATTTTAAGCACTTCACTATACTATTTGTTCTATAGAGAGAACCAATATTTATATATTAACAGAGGAGACAGAAAATATTTCAAGATGGAAGATTTTACGGTTACCAGGATTTCTGGGTGTATGTTTGTGTTATATGACAGTATCATTAATACAGTATGGTATCATACAATGGGGGCAGCTATACTTAGTAGAGGACATTGGACTTAGCTTGTTAATAGGTATTTATAGCTCATTTATATGACTGCCTGTATTATGCATTTCTTAGAAAAGTTGACTTGAATTTAGAATTGGTGGGTTAATTCCTTGCAATGTCAACCTTGTAATGTGTATTATCTACTGGTTCCCTTATTAAAAATAACAACTAAATTACATCAGAATAATGGTGATATGTCTTCCTGCTGAACGCAAACTTTTTTAATTTCGAACTTAAAATAAAAACCAAAGATAGCATATTGATGCCCACAAGTACAGATTTTCAGGGCTTCTGTATTCCACTTTCCTGTTATCTGAGGAAAGGAAATATGTAGGACTTATGATAGAAAATTGACTTTAATTTTCACACTAGTAAGCTGATTTTAATGACTTGTTATGTGTTGGTATATAATGAAAAAACTTGCCTTGACAAGGACTGGAACTTTAAAAATCAATATAAAAGCTGTAACTTTCAATTGTACTCTTGTGTGAAAAAATTGTAGGAAAATATAAATTTGATTTGAACTTGCTTCTAAACACAGGGAAAACTTGGTGAGCCTTGCTTTTCTTCCTGTTTTAAAAGCCAGTACTTAAAAAAATAGTACATGTATTATCCAAAAATTTATATATGTAATTCAAAAAGAACATGAAACCACAAACACTCATTTTTCAACAGACGTAAGATATGTGTGGCAATAATTCTTTGAGGAGGGAAATGCCTGCACAAAAAAAATACAATTTTACATGAACCCCAGGAAATTTATACGAGACCATCATTTAGCAGATTAATTTACTCATCTGATGATTGATGTTCCTGCCATGTAATAGGTAGTTAATTCTGATTCATATGATCACCACTACAAATCATATTTTAGTGTAGGGCATGATTGGGAAGCTAAAAACATTTTGAAGAAGCATTCATGGACTGAGTCATTCACCTAATTACATAGATCAAATGTACATGCAGAGAGAATAATGCACATTAATAAAATGTAGTTTTGCTATAAAACACATATTATAATGGTTTTATTGAAGTAATGACATACCTACCATCTTCTCAAAATCTCCATTGGTCGATTTTAAGCACAAATCACAGGACTTATTGCATCTCTTATTAAAGTGCTATTAATCTAATATGCTGTGGCCATGAATGAGTATATATGTACTTAAAGGCTGTACAGTGACCTATAGTTGTTAATTTCTGTGTCTTTTGGTCTCTTGTGGAGAGTTGTCTCATTGGCAATCATACCACATCTTCTTATTTTTATATTAAATGCCACTTTAACTCATTTGAACGCCTGATTTTAGAAATTCAGTTTATATATGGATAATTGAAAATGTTTAGAGTCTGATCAACACCTCTCTAAGGGAATACTCTATAAAGGCAGGTCTGTTATTTTATCTTAAAATATTGATTTTACACAATACTTTATTAAGACTTCAGCTTTATCTTTCAATACACATGTAATCACATTTTATTATCAGGAAGTGGTTTTGTCAGTAGTGTGGAGGTAGGAGGAATTGTGGGAAGTTTTGTGGCAGGATATTCCTCAGACTACATGATCTCAAAAGTAAGTATTTTGATACACTGTACCTTTCCATTGTAGAACTCATCAATGATTGCATGTTCAACAAAAAAAAAAAACGGAAGACGATATCAACTCTCACATCCATTAGAATTATTGTTTAAATAACACATAAAATGGATAACAGGACAACAGACCACACTAACTACCAACACCTATCTGTTCAAAAAAACAACAATGAACCACAATTGGCCTAGATAACCTGACTTGATACAGACACAAGACAAGACCAACCACCAACACCTATCTCCTTCAAAAAAAAATAGACACAAACAAAAACAAACAACCAGGAATAACACATTGTCCAGGTAACCTGTCTTGGTACAGGTGCAACATGTGGTGGGGTTAAACCAGTTTTATATTTTAAACTTTTGTATTTTTAATTTCAGAATTCAAATATTCCACAATTTTTAGTGAGAAAGACATTATGGATACACTTTTTCATAGTATTAGGTGTTGCACTATATAGTTTCATCACAGTTATTGATAAAGATTCATCTAAGGTAATATATAAACAATTTTTTATGCCCCCGCCGAAGCGGAGGGGGCATTAAGTTTTACCCATGTCCGTCTGTCTGTACGTCCCAAAATTGGTTTCCGTTCTCTAACTTAAGTTTTCCTCAACCAAATGTTATCAAACTTATACACAATGCTTATTACCACAATACACAGATCAAGTTTGAATTTTGGTGGCGTCACTTTTACTGTTCTAGAGTTATGCCCCTTTACAAATGGAAAAATTGCAAATTTTTTTATTTTTTTTCTAAAAATATCTATGATGTCATTGTTCAATAAATTTTTAAAATTGGAGTTATCTTCCTTTGTCCATGATTATAGTTGAACCAACTACAATCAATGCTTTATACAATGCAATGTTTAATTTTGCCTTCCACTGATAAAACACAGATCAAGTTGAATTTGGGTAGTGTCACTTTATTGAGTTATGCCCCTTTTAAATTGAAAAATTGCAAAATTTTTAGTTTCCGTTCTGTAACAACTTAATTTTGTTTTTAAATACTCTTTTCAATAGTTTTATGCTTATAGTTAATAACTTTCATCAGGTATGCTCATGATCAAAGATTTGGGTAGCCACATAGGTATAACATTAAAAAGCATTTAGATTAAAAAAGGCATAAACAGAACAGTCAAAATTGTTTTGATCAGATTTGTCTGAGTGAGTTAATTCTATTAGAATTACCAAATTAATATAGAGAGAAATTTTTTTTTTAATTTTGGACTTTATACTATGAATTTTTGCACAGATTCACTGTTTCAGGTTAAAAAAAAAAACCCAATGATATCAAATATCTAAATGAAAAAAATATATGAAAATTATTTATTTCCAATAAAATGGAAGACAAACATGTATTGAAATTGAAAAAAAGCACAAAAAAATGAAAAAATATATGTCTTTTTTGTATAGCTATGTAACTGTCTCATTGACAAATACTACATATCTCATTTTATTCATATTTACAGATATGAATTATTTTTTTTATTATTAAAGTAGAATTTTTCATTATGATGTCGTAAACATTAGTTGTTAATATAAAAATAAAAAATTGTGGTATGATTGCCAATGAGACAACTCTCCACAAGAGTCCAAATGACACAGAAATTAACAACTATAGGTCACCGTAAGTCCTTCGACATTGAGCAAAGCCCACACCCCATAGTCAACTATGAAAGGCCCAAAAATGACAAATATAATTAATTCAAACGAGAAAACTAATGGCCTAATTTATGTACAAAATAATGAACAAAAAACAAATATGTTACACAGCAACAAACGACAACCACTGAATTACAGGCTCCTGACCTGTCATTTTAGCATTTACCTGTAATCCCAAATTTAATCATGGTCATTGTTACATTTGTTGTAAAGAAAATTTCTCTCCTGCTTTGCAGTCTGATATATACCAAATTGTAATTAAGATTTGTGCATATTAGGTGCAGATATATTAGCAGTTCCTCCATTTCTAAATGTCTTATTTTTATTTTACAGATGTTAATATCCTTAATAGGTTTTATAATTGGCTTTGCAATATATGGACCTATATCAATAGCTGGAGTAATCGCTCTGGAATCTTCACCTAAAAATATCTCAGGGACTACTTACGCTGTAGCTGCTTTGTTTTCAAATAGTAAGTTTTTCTATCAAGATTGGACATGATGATATGGTAGATTTATATGAGAATAAATTATTGAGAAAAGTTTTAAAATGGTAATAAAATAAGAAACTAGAAATGCAGTAAAATTCATAGAAAATTATAATAACACTTTATAAAAATGTGCGACTGAAACATTTTTCTGGATTTACCGTCATTAGGAACGCTCAAACACAAAAATCGTAAAGCCAAGGATGTATAGATACCTGATTATGTGAGAAGCTATGTGACATTTTAGAATTTGAAAACATATCTATTTACTTTAGAGTATTTGCAGGACTTAAGCAATAAAACAGTTATCTATACCCTACAACATACTTTAAAAGTTTCAACAGACAAATAATTACCTAGGAGTCTTTCAATTATCTGAATTACAATCATGTCAGGGTATTAAAGTGCAAGAATCTAAGTTATAGAATTTAATACACAATTAACTCTCGATATCTATATCTCGAACTCGGTAGACTCGAAATTTTGGATGAGTCTTAAGTTTTCCTGTGATCCCAAACCCTGTTCCATATAAATATATGTATTTCGACTCCTGATGAGTCAAAACTGGATGAGTTGAAATTTCGGTTGACTCTAACACTCATTCACACATGTAATTAAATTTCCGGTCACTGACCACTCTATTGATTTATGACATCCTTATTCCACGAGTGTTTACCTAAGATTATCTTTGATCACTATGATAAATAATTAGTGATTGCATTGTTATAGTTTAAGAAAAATATTTGATATGTTTAAAAACAATTAACCTTAATCATACATTTATGAGCTTGGTTGTGCATAAAGTAGGGATTAAGACTTAATGATCAACTCAAAACTACTCAATCGGGGTCTTTAATCTTTTTGTATTTTATTTGAAGAAAAGGATTGAAATAGAAGAAAACGTAAAGAAATCTAAATTTTACATAAATCTCTTGTATACGAGAATGAACAATTTTATCAATTTTAAATAACGCTAAGACCAATTGGCTAAAAACCACAGAAAAAAATTGTAATTGTTCAAAGAAATGAATTAGAGGCTAAAAATCATATAATTTTATAAACAGATATATTGATCTCATGACCAGAATATCGATCTCCTTCCCATATTCAGCTTTATTTATTTTAGCCTTACCAAGCTAAGCAAGAGTTGTGTACCTTGGTCTGTCAAACTTCCGGTATTCATTTGAGTCTAACTACGGGTATCTCGAAATATTTCTCTGGTCCAGTTGACTTTGAGATAACGAGAGTCAACTGTATTTAACAAACTTATGAACTCTGATGATATATCTATGATGACCCCAATTTTATAATTTGACAATTCAGCATTTTCCTGGCAGGATAACATTGAGTTTCATTTATAGTTGATAATTTTTTTTTTTCAGTTGGAATTTTCCTGGCAGGATTACCATTCAGCTACATAGCCAAACAGTATGACTTACAGACAACGTTCTTAATTCTAGGAACTTTTTCAATTATCATGTTTTTGTATTTAATATTTAAGTTAAAGTATGAACTATCATCATATCGGGGTGGATTAATGAAGGTTTTATTCATGAAATGAAATTCCTATATCATTTTAAAATGCTCAAACTTGTAGGTTGTTATTTTTGAGAGATGTCTTTTTTATTGGGTAAAAAAAAATAATTGTCAAAGGCTATGATGTATTATTAAGAATTAGACTAAAATTTTTAAGAATATTGATTTTAGAATGCATAATAACGTATTTTGAATTTTATTTTAAATTTACAATTTTTATAAAAGAGTTTATATTCCAAAGACCTTTGTTTAAATAAAATCCTTTATCATTTTACGATGTAATTTCTTATAATGGTATCATGGGTATTTTGAACCCCATGAAAATTGAACCAGGGGTCAAACTCCCATAGCGGAAAATTGAGCCTTCCCTTCTGTTTATTCATTCAAGAAGCTCATTAGAACATAATGTAATGGTATAAGGAGTTTTAAATTGCTATGATACATTCAAATTCTGATATTGAATGGAGGGGGGTCACTTTTCCATGGTAGATTGATCATTTAAAGTAATACAGCGGGTTCAATATTCCAATGTTGGGCTTCAATTTTCCATATGGTATTTTTGACCCAAGGGTAACTTTTCAGGGGGTTCAAAATACCATATGAAACTTACTTTTTGTGAGATAACATAATTTCTTCAAAATGAATATGCAGTTTTGTAATAAACTTAAGTTGAGGACAAAAACATCACAGATGATTAATCAATTTCAAATGAAATACTACACAAAAAACTGTTTTGATATGTTGATATACTGAAATATAAATGTTTAGATTTGATGTTTTTATTTTACACAAAACATATTGGTGTTATGCTAGACAATGCCATGAGGGAATGAGATAATTTGTTAGTGGGTAAAATGTATCCATAGTTCTATCGATAATACCTGTAGCTGAATGAAAATTTTTTCTATGTGGTCATATTTTACAGAAGGCGTTTTGTATTTTATTAAAATTATTGGTGCTAATCTATTGTTTGGAATGTTTTTTTTACACTAGTCCAGGAAATTAAATGGTTTGGTCTATTTCTTGGATACTATAAGCAATAGTGCCACCATATTCGGTGTATGGAATGTTTTTAAGGTGTACAAGTCTGTCTGGGAGGATTCATCTGACCTGCACCTCATTTTCATGGTTCATTGGTCAATGTTAAGTTTTCATGGATAGTCTGTTTCTTAGAAACTATAGACAATAGGTCAACTATATTTTGGTGTATGGAATATTATGACTCATTGATCAATGTTCATTTTTTTGTAATAAGGTCTGATTCTCAGATGCTATAAACAATAGGCTAACTGTATTTAGTGTACGGGATGATTGAAAGGTATATGTCTGTCTGGCCTGGATCATCAACCAGATTGATCCTTGATAATGTTAAGTATATGTGATAGTTATAGTAATACCTAGTTCAATCATGATAAGTAAAGCAGGAGAGACATTTCAGTGTTGTACGCTCTGGTTAGATCACCTGTGAAAATGAATACTTTCACTACCAATACTTAGGAAAACTTAACTATAATATAAATAAAGGGGAAGATGAGGTATATGTCAATGAAACAGCAACCAAATGACATCTAGAGGTCAACATACAGCCAACAATAGGAAGGAGGGTCTTAATGGGGGAGTCTTTTATTTCTGTATTCTGAAATTAAGGCCATTTTTAACTGGATTTCGAAAGAAAAATCGGTTATTGTTTTGGGGATGTACTGTGGGCCGGCGGCTGCCAAACAGTGACCGTACATTTACTCATGAACGGTTCGACCAAAGCTTTTCAAATTTTAATATGTTGTTACTGATGACAAAATGGAGGTCAAGTTCAATAATGACGATTTTCACTTTCACCATTCAGGAGTTACGGTTCTTGAAAGATTGAAAAATGGTGTTTCCAGTTGTGTCCATGCTTTAACTCATGAACCATTCAACCAAAGCCTTTCAAATTTTTTTAAAATATGTTGTTACTGATGACAAAATGGAGGTCAAGTTCAATATTAACGATTTTCACTTTCATCATTCAGGAGTTATGGTCCATGTGATATTGAACAAGAGGCTCTCAAGAGCCTGAATCGCTCACCCGAATTTCAGAGGAGAAGATTTTTCAATGTTAGCAAACTTGATGAACAAATTGTGTAAAATTGTCTTTAAAGGCAATAACTCCTTAAGTGTTCAATTGACAATTCTGGTCATATTAACTTTTTTGTAGATCTTACTTTGCTGAACATTATTGCTGCTTACAGTTTATATATATCTATAATAATATTCAAAATAATAACAAAAAACTGCAAAATTTTGTTAAAACTACCAATTCGGTGGCAGCAACCCAACAATGGGTTGTTCGATTCGTCTGAAAATTTCAGGGCCGAAAGATCTTGACCAATTAAACAATTTTACCCCATGTCACATTTGCTCTAAAAGATTTAGTTTTTGAGATATAAGCCAAAAACTGCATTTGACCCTTATGTTCTATTTTTAGCCATGGCGGCCATGTTTGTCGATGGATACAAACTTCGGATACAATTTATAAACAATATACCCTAAGGAATATTTAGTTAAAGTTTGAAAGTAATTGGCCCAGTAGTTTCAGAGGAGAAGATTTTTAAATGTTACCAAACTTGATGAACAAATTGTGTAAAATTGTCTTTAAAGGGCAATAACTCCTTAAGGGGTCAATTGACAATTATGGTCATAATAACTTTTTTGTAGATCTCACTTTGCTGAACATTATTGCTGCTTACAGTTTATATATATCAATAATAATATTCAAAATAATAACAAAAAACTTCAAAACTTTGTTAAAACTACCAATTCCGTGGCAGCAACCCAACAATGGGTTGTTCGATTCGTCTGAAAATTTCAGAGCTGATAGATCTTGACCAATTGAAAAATTTTACCCTTTGTCAAATTTGCTCTAAAAGCTTTAGTTTTTGAGATATAAGCCAAAAACTGCATTTGACCCCTATGTTCTATTTTTAGCCATGGCAGCCATGTTTGTCGATGGATCAAAACTTCGGATACAATTTATAAACTAGATACCCTAAGGAACATTTAGTTAAAGTTCGAAGGTATTTGGCCCATTAGTTTCAGAGGAGAAGATTTTCGAAATAGTTTACGACGACGACGGACGCCAAGTGATGGCATAAGCTCACATGGGCCCTTTGGGCCCCGGTGAGCTAAAAATGCCATGACACAAATAAATGTTAAAAAATCCGGTTTACTGTCATTCTGACAGCTCTTGTTCTTTATTATTTATTTACTTTGCCCATTATTCTCAGTTGTGTTAACCCTGTCCAGGTGTATATACAATTGTGTTAACCCTGTCCAGGTGTATATACAATTGTGTTAACCCTGTCCAGGTGTATATACAATTGTGTTAACCATGTCCAGGTGTATATACAATTGTGTTAACCATGTCCAGGTGTATATACAATATGTCAAGCTCTAAATCATCCAAAATTTAAAGAAGCTTAACAGCTGAAACATTCATACCAAAGTTGACTCATTACCAGCTTTAACCACTAAGAAATATGATTGGTGTTGGTTGCTTGCAGAATATGGTTAACCCTCAGTAATACCGGCTATTAATTCCAATTTTTATAAGCGTTCCTATTGCTCAAGCTTTACATAATAGTGTACTCTTTTTGTTTAAGTTTTTCATTCTTTTTGATTTGTCTCATTTTGTATTGTCCTTTGGTTTTTTTTATTTGTTCTTTATATGGTCAGACAACCTCACACATCCCAAGATTTTCAAACCATGTTTTCCAATTTACAGAGTAAATGGAATATTTAAAAAATAATTCTTTCATGACATGTTCTATGCTCCTTTTAACATAGGTAGGGATTATAATTGTCAAAATTTTCATACTGAGCATAAGCGAGGTGTAAAATAATGACAAATATAATGCCTACCCATGTTAAAATGAGCATAGAGTATGGCAAGATAGAATAAATACTATTCTAAAAGGAAAATTTAGAACTTTTATACTTTGAATCAGACCTAAAAGACACATACGAAAGGTAGCCATTTTGATTAGATGATGCAGAAACTTTCTAGAAAATCAACTGTTTCATGATTAAAATTATAACTAACAATTGTTATTAATGAATTGAAACATGTAAACTTACTTTTAGAATGATTTTATTTATCTCGATTCCTAGCAATCAACAACAAAAATGTAGCACTGCATATTTTAGAAAATTCTAGAAGATATTATACCGCCACTCTATAATAAATTGTTAGGGCTACATTGCAATCACCATGTCATTCTGTCCTTTTGTCTAATAAACAAAATGACTTCATATTTGGTCAGCAGCTTGACTGTGATGAGTTGGAGCTTATGAACTCTTTTCAGATCTGTAAAGACAACTACTTTCGGTTTTATGATACTTTGAATTACGAGTTAGAGTATGCTTAGCAAGATACCAAGATAGCATGTGCCTTCTTGTTTCATCTCTCACTGGAAACGTTTATATTTAAAATGTTGTCTTGGAATGATATAAGCATATGCATAATGTGTAAAAATTTCAAAACAGAGAAGATCATGAACAGAGCTTGACAAATAAAAAGTTTTTTCATCACATAACACCTGGACGTTCAGCAAACAACAATAAATCAATCAAACATAACAATATGGTGTGCTTTCATTGAAAGTTGCTCTTTCCAATTCATATTTACACCTAGCTAGTAGAACAGTTTTATATGTAATTGGATCTATGTAGTTGTATTTGTTTAAAGGAGACGTGACACGATTTTTTTTATTTTTATTTTTTTTATTAAATCAATAAATATTAGTATTAAAACATATTTTGTACAATTTTGCTGGTCAAAACCTGATCAATCGGCATTTTTAGGTCAAAGAATCCAGCGCTTGTCATAATGAATGATTTTTAATTAGATAACGATCACATGATTGTGCTTACGTCACTGGTTACAAGCTGGGGAAAATTAATGTCTCAAACTGGACGATGTCGATCACTTTCTGCACATGTACACCTTGGACGGTATTGACAGCACTTTTCCTATTACTGACAAACTACGTAGACAATTGACCTCACCAATTTGAGCCATTGTGTTTGGAAAATAACCAAGAAAAAGACATTTTAAAATTCTTCATGCGAAGAGTCCAACAAGGACGATTTTTCAGACAATACCGATCGGATTGTTACCATACATATGGGTTTGTCTTGTGAATAAATTTAATAAACCGCTTTCTGCATTTTCTATATTTAAATTAAACTACTTTTATTAAACTACTTTTAATTTTGATTAAAAATATAAATTTCTAATTATCGATGATCAAATTGTTCTTTT